GTACAGTGTCGAAAATATGTGATAATGTTTTAGTGTTACTCAGCTAAATGCATATTTTGTTTCTAAATTAAATAATTCTGAAAAGTTAAACAGTTCCATCTAGTGTGACAGGTGAAGATTTTTCTTATTTCAATTATTTATGCCATATTGTAATAGTAGCTTCTAACTGTATTGATGTAAAGGTGTCGCTCTGAGAATGGTCTCTGAAGACCGAAACATGTAAGGGTATAAATATTTGAAATAAGAAAAATCTTCACCAGTCACATTAGATGGAGCTGTTACAAAGAATAACAACTAATGGTCTGTAACTACCATCAACATATATAAATAATACCAAATGAGCCTGCAAAAAAATAAATAAATAAATAAATAAATAAACCAACTCCCCTATAAGAGTGTACAAAGACCTGAAACATATGCCCTCACACAGATGTTTCTACACTGATTTCCCCACATTATATGAACTTCATAACACAATAACACAGCTACAGAAACATTAAGTATAATACATATTCATATAGACATAAAATACAGGATGATTAAAAAATCTGAACAATTACATGGAGTCTTCTGTTAGAGGACTTGAATCCTCAATAAACATCTGAAATGGCAACTGAGATGAAAGAAATGTTTGGCAGCTTTCATCCATGCTCTGATATTTGTAGATATGAAGTGCCGACTGCATGCATTGTTTGCATATTAGAAACGTTCACAAATCCCCATGTGTTCATATATTTTCTAGTCATCCTGTATATGCTTAGTTACATCCCCAAAGGAAAACACTCATTCTGAAGAACATACATTTCACACATGCAAGAGATAATACTAATAGCATTCTGCCACAACCTGTTATCAAAAAAGCTTACAGTATATCTGATCTACGACACATAAGCTATTTAATGTTACAACAAAGGGCAGTAATCTTACCACACCAAACATTCTCTGTTACTGTTGGGTGTTAGTACTCTAACCTGGGTTAATACTGTAGTAAAACTCCTTCCATTCATCGAGCCAAACCTCTGCTAGGCGTGCGTTGTTATGGTTTACTATTTTAGAAGTGCCCCCAGGAAAGGTATAAGGGGTGGATTTGCGGAACACATGACCCACATGTGAGCAAGTGGCAATTTCTAAGTTGCCACCACACATCCAAACCTATAACAAGGAAGCCGTGCCTCACATCACACAGTGTGTACCAGCCACAACTCTGTTGATACATTGAATGCTAGACAGTGGTAGAACCCAAAGGCATGAAACATGAAAGGGAATTATAACTCAACTGCTTCAAGGATAATACAGCACTGACAAATATTAAACAGATGGGAACTGGTAAGGCATGTTTCAGGGATTGACTGATTTTAGTTTTATTCGGTGCTCTTTACATAGCGTGCAAGAAAACACAGATAGGGATAGTCATGTCTTGCTGTCTGTGTGCCCAGCCATATCCCCTTCTGTATCCACATTTCAACTTGAGAATTGCTGATGGATGTTAATAAAATCTGATATGAACATTCTGCTACTAGAGGACACCACAAAATCATACTTTCTGATTTCATATAATCAGTGCTAGAAATGTGGAAAACACATATCTTTTTTTTTTGTGATGTGGAAGCAATATCAGAACCATCAGAATGTCATACCCACGACAGCTACAAGAAACCATATCAAACACAGGTCTACTAAAAATCATAGTAATGGTAATAAATATGGTAATGACTGAAACCAAACTGCAATAAATTTTATAGATGTATGAAATATGCATATGCTCAAATGCCAAATTCAGAATGCCAAGGCACAAAGAACACATATAGAAACCATATGCTGCCATCTGCTCACGCTGGTTCCTCGCTCCCAGATTTTTCTACCCTTAAGATGAAGGCAATATGTTCCTCCGAAACATTGGTTCACACAAGATCTACATGGTGTCACATCCCAGACAACGGCATTCTTCATCGTTATATCTGGTAAACTGCATAGATAGCAGCTCCACTTATACATTAAGTAAATTTATCAACTCCTAGTCATTTTTATTAACAAGAAATCAATTTCCCTTCCAGATCCTACATTACTGTTTTTGACAATCACATTTCATTCATGTCTGCTAACTGTGAAAATAAATCTTTCTCACCAGTGTGAGATACAAGTAACTGAAACAAAATATTATAACTCAAGATAACCCCAGTCATTACCATCAAAGCCTACATATTGGTACCTGTGTACCTGAAAAGAGAAAAATGAGTAATTGATTTTACTTTGAAGAAACATATAAAACAGGTATTACAATTACAGTCCTCTGAGCTATGATGCCATATAGTTCAGCAGGCAGCTACCAAACCAAGGAACCTAAGAAGTGAAAAGGGATCTCAAATAAAACATTAGATCATAATATCTGGCCCTGGGATACAATATCAGAATGCAAGTCACATTACCACACAAACCTATCAAAAGGTGAAACACATTTTCAGCATTCATGTGCTACAAGTGCGCTTATAAAGTAATTTCCATTTTAGTGTCAGGTATGGTAAGTCTTATGAGAAATAACAAAGAGTGAAACAGATTTGGGCTGGTAATGTTTAACCTTGCAAACATAGTCATAATTATATGTAACACAAACTTTAACATTAAAAAAACCTCAGCATTTTCCCTATAGTGTATATTAATGTGTTCTGTATGATTCTCACAATAAGCAACAATTATTTACCTAACGGCATTAACCAACCAGTTGTTGTAATTGAGACGTAGTGTGATTTGTGTGACTTAAGAACCACTCCTCCTCCTCCTCATCATCATCATCATCATCTGCAAGGGTCTAGTATGTCAGACCCTTCTGTCCTTAAACATGAAGCATCTGCATTTATAAATATTATTTAGAAAAACTTCTTGCTTCGAAGAATTAAAACAGAAGTCAACACCAAGACCGTTGACTTCAAGATTCAATCCAAGGCATGTACTGTACTTCGATGGGAGAGATGTGGTTGGTGAGAGAAGAAAATGCAAATATTGGAGGAGGATGGAATGTGTTCATAACACATCTCCTAACCCAGTGAAAAGCAACACGTTGAGTGCATTGCAACTGTAATCAGTGCTGGACATTTGGTGACAAGGCCAAGTGCATATAACTGCAAGCCTCCATGAAATAACAAACTGCAGTACTGATTCAAGTAAGTGCACAGCAAATGTGTAATTGTGGGACAAAAACCAGCTTGGTTAACCAGATTAGTGGCAAACATAAATGTCTGAGCTCACTAGCCTGACTTTCATTACCAAAAACTATTATCATAAAGGACAATATCTGAAAAATTACGCAAGTCTGACTTCAAAATGGAAAATTTTCCCCAAATCTTTGTACTTTGTGAATTAAGATTCACACTTAAAATGGAGTATACTTTCTAATTTTTAGAATTATATGTATTTTGTTTCTCAGTCTTGCATCCCACAGAAAAACAAGATTTATAACTTTTAAAGTAATTCATGAGCATCTCAGAGCCTGCTGCAAACTGCCATCAAGGCCACTCCTCCAACTCAGGTCACTGAGACGTTGTTGGAATCGACATGCCTATAGGCCATCAAACCACAAACACCCACCCACATGACAGCAGATGCTGGAGATGCTCCCTGATTTTACACATACCTTAGCCCTCCATAGAATGTACATATTCATGCACTGAGGTTCCTTTTTTGGGAAGAGCAAAACTGAAACTCAAAACCCTGGTCTCCTGCACAAGATGTGAGTGGGATTCCTGAGGACAAGAGTTCAAGTTTGGTGCTGATACCATTCAACTTCTCTTCAGCGAACATTCAGCATTTTTATTTGGTTCTTTCTCATCTGACATTGGACCTTGTTGTAAGGTAAAAGGTAAAGTTGTCCCTGTGCTTAACTAATTAAGTACTATGCCAAGAAGACAGGTGGGGGAGTGGATGTATAGATCCATATTTCCTTGACCTCGGCACTAGCTGAAGGTGAGTGGTCAGCTTCATGCCCCTCGACCCTGTTGTTTGTAATTTATTTATGACTGTGTGAACAGTTTTTCTATGTTGAACTGTTAACATCCTGAAATTTATAATGCAATTACCTTCTTCATTCTTACATAATCACATTTTACAGAGATATTTTTTGCCTGTGATTCTGTATGGATGTGAAACCTGGTCTCTTGACATTCAGGGAAGAACACAGACCAAGGGTGTTTGAAAACAGGGTACTGAGGAGAATATTTGGATCGAAGAGAGATGAAATTATGGAAGACTGGAGAGAACTACATAATGAGGAACTTCATAACTTGTACTTTTCACCAAGTATAATTAGAGTGATCAAGTCAAGGAGGATCAAATGGGCAGGGCATGTAGCATGAATGGGGGCGAAAGGGAGTGCATATAGGGTATTGGCGGGAAAGCCAGAAGGAAAGAGACCACTGGGAAGACCAAGGCGTAGGTGGGTGGACAATATTAAAATGGATCTTAGAGAAACAGGGTGGGATGGTATGGACTGGATCCATATGGCTCAGGATATGGACCAGTGGAGAGCTTATGTGAATACGGTACTGAAGCTTCGGATTCCATAAAATGCTGGGAAGTTGAGTGGCTACACAACTGGTGGATTCTTAAGAAGGGCTCAGCTCTGTGAGTGAGTGAGTTCCAATGTGTGTAACTTACACATGGTATTTAATACAGGAGATGAGGCAACTGTGGATTACTGCTCGGCTAACACATAACACATAAGCTCAAATCATAGGAGCAATTCAGTGATTTGTTGGGGTGAAACTGAAGAGGAATTGTAATGTGTATACATTTGGGTTTTTGGTTCTGCTAAAAGCCTAAATGTCCATGCACTGATCTGACAGAGGCAGTGACTGCCTCTTCCACTTAAACAGTTCAATAATATGCAAGAAGCTTTCTGACTATAGCATTTTAACTGGCTAACTGATTTTCTGTTTACCAGTTTGCGGAATCCACTCTCTTCTAGTGAGAACTTCCCCAGCATTTTATGGAACATGCAGGTTCATTACCGTGTTCACAAGAGCCGTTCACTGAGACAGATCAATCCAGTTCATACCATCCCATCCTATCTAAGATCCATTTTAATACTATCCACCTGCCTGTCTTGGTCTTCCAAGTGTACTCTTTCCTTCTGGCTTTCCCACAAATATCCTATATGCATTCCTCTTCTCCCCATTGGCACTACATACCCTGCCCATCTCATCCTCCTTGACTTGATCATTCTAATTATACTTGGAGAAGAGCACAAGTTATGAAGCTCCTCATTGTGCAGTTTTCTCCAACCTCCCATCACTTCATCCCGCCTCAGATCTTCTAGTAAGAGTGAGGGAATATTTTAAAGTTCAAATTATAAAACAAAATTAATTTTTCTCCAGTCATCAAACTATCCATTATATGACCACTGCAAACTTCTCTCCCAATTCCAGTAAAAACTGGTATTAAAACATCACATTTTAGTGTCAAAACCATAAGACACATTTAAAAAATTATATGAAAAATTGTTTCACATTTCAAAACTCGTATGTATCTAAATAGACAGAAATTCCATTAGTTTAACAGTGCCAAGAAAAGAAGATCAACATTTCAGTACTAAGAAGAAAGTCATCTTCTGGGATCTGGCGACATGTATTCTTTGTTTTAGCCGACGTTTCGGAGGAACGTATCGCCTCCATCTTCAGGACAGGTGAACTGGCTTGTGAATACAGTAGCTGTAATGATTAGGAAGTGAAAAGCGCTGCTATATATATGAAGTAGGCAGGGGGTTGGATAGGGGAGGAGACCAATGGGAGCAGTGAAGTAAGGCCATATATGGTCTTGTGGGTGAAGGTTGGGGGGGGNGAACTGCCAGTGAATCCCGGCAACTTGGAGGTCAATGGCACGGAAGTTGCGGTTAGACAAGAAGAACCGGTTGGCTGAGGACGGGCTACTAACGTCAATGACATGATTGACAGGGGACAGGCTACTGACGTCAATGACATGACGAAAAACTGGGGTGGCTTGGTGGAGTTCTCTTGAGGGAAGAGATGAGAGGCTAAAACAAAGAATACACGGCACCAGATCCCAGAAGACGACTTTCTTCATAGTCATCGCCGTGAAAACCTCAAAACTTACATTTCAGTACTAAGTTTGCAAATGTATAAGTAACTGATTGAGCTTACACTAATTAAAAAGGCTGATGTAGTTCAAGCCTATTTAAATGACAGCAAACAACTAAGTTTGATCACTGGATCATTTGAAGTTCATATTCATAATTTGATCAGATGTTTATATAGCACACAAATTAATGCATGATTACTGTATGACAATGGAGGAGTGAAATATTCTGAAGATTCATCTGATAGCTGTCAAGACAATATAACAATTATACACAAGTCACAGTATTATGTACAGTAACTTCAACTACAATAACTCATAGTTCAGGCAGTCAGATGCTAGCTTCTCTCTGCAGAGACTCGTGGGATTTGAGGCAGAACAAGTATTAATGGGACACAATATTTTTCAAGTACTTCAGTTTTCTCTTGTTAATCATCACTCCACCAATGCTCCATATTCTTCCACCAGATCCCCTGATGTAGGTGATAATCCCTACCAACTAGACTATCACAAACTTGGCTTTTATCTGTGACCCTAACCCTTCGCTAGGCCCAAAATAAACAAGTTCAATTCTAGTTCTAACTCTTACATGAATATCAATCAGTAGTGAAAGTAATTCAAGCTTCCCATTTTCAGTTCTGATAGCTTCCACATTTCTCTCAGAGTTGTTCTTGCCAGAAAATATTCTTTCTGATTTTTGATAATAAATATTATTCTTGAAAAGTTGTATCCTGACTTGCAATAGATTACACACAGTTATATCACAGAACACAGAACTTTTCATAAACATTGCTGTGAGAACCTCAAATCCCACATTATCATTCTTTTCATAATTTTCAATTACAACTGACTCCAACAGATTCTATAGCAATTTTCTTGGACTGTGTTTGCCAACAAGACTTTTGGATTCTTTGTTATGCACCACTTCAGACAATACAGTAATAAAGAAAGTACAAAAGAGCAGCTTTGAAGATTTATGCCATATATGTTGAGACATGGGTGTAGGACACTAGGAGCATTACATGTATATATTTCTGAAATTACAAATTTCTAATGCTATATGATTAGTTGCTAAAATAATGAGCTCACTTTAACATAACCAAACAAGTTGTTAGTGGGTATTAGTAAACATACAAACAACAGAAGCACTTTTGTGTTAGTATCAACGATGGGACACAAAGCCATACATATTAGTTTTTGCTCCCAGTATGTTTCTTCTATCTACCTGGATTCATTAAATAATAGAACTCTCGCCATTCGTCCATCCAAACTTCTGCCACACGGGCGGCATTTTGCAACACTACTTTCGATACACCTCCGGGGAAGGTGTAAGGGGACTTGTCACGAAATACATGACCAACATGTGAACATGGAATTATTTCCAAAATGCCTCCACACTGCCACACCTGGAAACAACCTGTACTTAAAACACACAAATGCCTACACATCTAGTACATCTGCTAAACCAATCATATTTTTCAGCCTATAAAATTTAACTAATCCTTTATCTAAAGATTATGAGAACTAGAAATACAGGTCGAACTCAATACGGTTTTTCAGTTCTAATGTGTAAGTATCACAAGATACAAATGGAAATGTTATTTTAAAAAAACATCCAACTTTCACATGAAAATACAGTACTTACTATTTGGGACATACAAAATATGTAATGCTGCCAAAGTTGATATAAATGTTCTTATAAATATACAAAAAAATTTATGAAACTAATCATCATTACATAAAACAAGAAAGGAACCTTATGGACTCCTTCATTAGATAAATTTCTTAATAACAAATGTTCTGCATATGCTATAACTTCCACACAGCATGTTGCACAATGAGCTTAGGAATTCCAAAGTTTAAGTGGTAAGAGTCATTAGAGCTAGGATGAAGGATTGATTGACATATTACTTTGGGGGATCAATTAATTCCAGAGACATATAGCTTCAAGTATGTAGGAATAATCATACACAGCGATTTAAGCTGGGCAGATCATGTAAACTATACACTATGAAAAGCATGGAAGGCCCTTCATTTAATGTGTATACTCAAACAGGGAAATAATAACATGAAACGTCTAGCTTACATGTCATTAGTGAGACTGATACTTGATTATTCCATCATTTCAAAAGAATATAAGAAGAGAGTTTTCCACACTTTATATTCTGCAGTAATCTGAGGGGATGATGAGGCATGGGATCTCTAAAATTGTGATTAAGAATACACCCATTTTGGGTTGCACAGGGACATGCTTCAATGACCTAACCTTTCAGAATCTGTGATGATAAAGATGATTATTACTCTCATTTCATAAACAATGAAATCCTAAATCCATTGTGCAACATTTTGTACAAAGAAATTCCACATGACAAAGAAAGAAAATGTGGAATCCCATAGTGTTTTTATATCGTGATTTTATTGTCAATGTGTTAAAACACCTGCCGTATCATAAAACTATATATATGAGACAAGAAGACAAGAAAATTACTTTCACCAATTTTGCAACCATGATGTCAAAAAATCAGACTACTCTGACTAAAATTAACTCACCCTGAATGACATCTCTAGATTCTCTCCTCCCCATATATCCATTCCCTCATCATATGCACCAAGTTCATAGAAATATTCTCGATCTATTGAAAAGAGTCCACCAGCCATTGTTGGAGTTCGGAGAGGAGCAGTTCGGTCACCGCCTCTTCTGTCCATCTCTCTCTGAGGCACCCGATACCTGAAACAGAAGCATACTAGTATTCCTACACAGAAAGAGCAATAAAACATATCCTACTCTTTACTCCTACATACAGTCAAACTTGGTTACAGCAAAACCCTGGCTATAGGATCTTATACCGAGTGGTGTTAGCGGCCTCCGTAGTCTAGAGGTAACGTTCCCACCTCATGACTCGTAGTACGCGGGTTCAAATACCCGGCAGAGGTCGTCGAATTTTTAAGGGTGGAAAAATTCAGGGAATAAGTCCTCCGGGAGGAACTTTAAGCCGTGGGTCCCGTGTCGTAGCTTTACGGCACGTAAAACAACCTCATATCTCCAAAGGAGGTCACTGAGCCAAATTATGGATGTTTCCCGCCCAGCAGCAGTCTCTAATACCTTTGGTAGATTGGGGAAGCATTATAGATACCTCTCAGCTAGTAGAGCCGGTCTCGCTGGCTGGGCGGGACTGATGGTAAGCACCCGTACCGGTAGGATATAGAGACTGGTAGAATATCATAGAGGGAAGCACAATGGACGAAGACAGGTCTAAGTGCATGGGGAAACCCACCCTCTCCAATAACTAACTAACTATACCGAGTGGTGTTTATTAAATCTCTATTAAACACACGTTTTTTTGCCTCTCTCAAAAAGACAATCATGAAATTAGAAATTTGTTTATAATGACATGTGGCACCCTGTTCTCACCCCACTTCTTTGCATGGACATTGAAAAACTTATTGTGACTTTCTCCTACCCTCTGTGGAGAAGACCTTTTCTAACAATACTGAATGACCCTGAGAACTCAATACCCTCAGAAAATGTGCTGAAAAAGTAGGTTAAGTAACAAACAAGCTTCAAAGACAAAGTGGCTGAATTTGCAAAGGAAAAAAACCCTTAAGTGTTATGGATAAAGTTAATGTGATAAAACAAATTGAGAGTGGAAAGGAGAAAGCTGATGTGTACTGGGATTCAGTTAATTCCACAACTCAAATAATATGGAAAAAATGGGACAAAACTGTTAGTATATTAGGGGAGGAGGTGATCACAATTTAAACAATTACAGAATACAGAATGCAGTGACGTGGACAAAGTGCTATTAAAACAGTTTAAACAAACAGAAAGTGAAAATGTATGGTTTAACAACCCTCTTCTCATGGACAAAACCAAAGAATTACTGATTTTGTGTGTTCTAATTGTAATGCAGCAGAAAAGAGAAAATTGTTTGTTATTGGGAAATCAAAAAGTCCTTGACATTCAAGAATGTAAAACTCCTGCCTGTTCAATGCAGTGCCAATAAAAAGTCATGGATGACCTCCAATCTGTTTGAAAGTGAGCTTTGGGACTGACAAATGTAACTGCAGAACAGGAAAATTCTGTTGCTTGTAGACATCTGTCTGGTACATCCTGGGTTTGATAACATGCCAAACATTAAAACGGTGTTTCTTCCAGCAAACACCATGAATGTCTTACAACCTATGGATGAAGAAGTGATCAGAAGTCTGAAATGTCACTGTCTCTGTATGAAGGTGTGTGTAAAATTGATCATAATGCTATTGCATCATATGATCTAGATGCATATGTCAGCATAAAGGATGATGATGTTATGGCTGAAACACATACAGGGAGGGCACCACCATGGAAGCAAAGATAAGACAAACAAACAAATTAGAAGAGGGGGGGAGACCATTATCAAGAAACTGAAATGGTGGCTCCTAATTTAAATAAGGTTCTTGAGGTCTTTCATACTGTAAACAGATTTTGTGAAGCCAGATTGGAGGAAGTAAAAAAAGTAAAAGTAAAGCTATTCCTGTAACAGGCCATGAAGGCCCACAGGGTTGTGAGACGTTGAGGGTCCCACATTATCTAGACAACCGGCTCAAAGATGGTGGCAAGGTTGTCAGCCTTATGCACCGGCCACACTTTACTCCCCAGGAAAATTCTTTAATTAATTCCTGGTACTCATTTCTGTCAGAGGCTGAGACAACCCCAGGGCCATAGTGCAGCTGGAAGGTTTAGGTCAACTGGAAAAAATCCAATGACCTCAATCGGATTTGAACCCGCGACCTTCCGGCTTGTAGCATAGTGCCTCAACCAACTATGCTAACGCATGCGCCTAGAGGAAACTGAAATTATTTAAAAAACTGGGAAAATCAAGGACGATTCAGAGGAGTCTGGAAAAAATTAGAGAAGAATAAAATAACAGATTTCTTCATCTAAATTTCCATAATTCTGTAATTTTATTATGTACAGTACATGTGTCCTGTAGTATCAGTTATTTTAATAAATGTAATTTTCAAGACATATGCACATACTTTTAAAGTTACCATTTTTATACATAAGCCCTACTTTACATTTAAAGAGAAATTAGTGCTGTACAGAATGATTCTATATATTTCTTCTTGAAAACCGATTTAATTACTTAAGAACAGTCGGTACAAAACTTGTTTATAATGATGTAATTTCTCCAGTCCCTTGGATGACACTGAAACTGAGCCTGGCTGTAATATGAATACCTCCATATTTTTGGTAACTGGATAATGGTTTACAGTTGCAGATAAATTGTGTCTTGAAATTCATGCTGTTCTTGTCACTGTTCAGTGAGGGCTAAACAACCAGTTCCCTTCCTCCTTAAACTGCATATTTTTAATGTCCTTGGCACTACAGCCCCAGTGGGCCTAGGCCTACCTCCATGAACTTCTCCGTTCACTTCGGTTTTTCTAGATCTTACACATTCGGTAGGATTCCTTGGGCGAGTGATCAGCTCGTTGCAAGGCCTCTACCTGTACACAAACTCAGAAAAACGCACACACACAAACTAAACATCCATGCCCTGAGTGGGATTCGAACCCATGATCCCGGTTTCCAAGCGAGCGAAGACAGTACATGCCTTAGACCGCTCAGCTACTGTGACCGGCAGACTGCATATAGAATGAATTACTCATTACCAAACTGGTAGCAGATAACATGCCTGACATGAAAACTCTACCCACCTCCTATCCTCATAACCTTATTTCATAAATATTATTCCTGAGCTCCTGTGTTCTTACTAGCCTTCCAAGAGGTTTCCAATCAGCATTCTGTATGCTTTCCCATCTTCCCCATCCAAGCAATGTGTGCAGCAGCCCCCTTAACTTCACTATCGTAACACAAGGTGACCTCTACAAATCACAAAGCTTCTCACATAATATCCTAGCTGATCATTTACTTTATACCCTCTTAGATCCCAATGACCTTCTATGATGCTACGTAGGGACTTACAGTAAGAGACCATGTTTTACAGCCTCACAGAACAACAAAGAAGCAGTTTCTGTCTCACATAATACAAATACAAACGCATCTCAATCACTGGTGCTTAGGAAGTACACAGACAAACAGTCTTCGAACAATGATGACAACAATGACAAGGAAGACAAAACTAAAATCTCAAGACATAAATGATTTGTTACCTAACTAACCTCTGACTTCTGCCTTTATTTGAGGTTTTAATAGCGTTGGAGATTCATACTGTGATACTGTATAGCCTGCTGGGTGGGTACCATGTTTTCATGGAACATCCTACCTCCACCTTCAGGCAGAAGATGGAGGCAACATGTCCCTCAAAACCAATAGTAGCTATCCACCAGAGTACATGGTATAATTACCCAGAAGGCTACAGTATGAATTTCTACTGACACTCTCAGGTTTTTATTATGGACATAAAATGTTCACAATACATCTCATACTGTTTCCATTCAGGCCCCATTCTAACCTGAACCTATATACCCCCCTATATGAAGTTAGAAAAAAAGATAGTAAACCAAACTTACCATCTGAAATTTAATTTCCAGTTGAAACCACCCCATGTCATATCTGAGGCAGTGATGTATTCAAACGTTTCATCTGATATTACATCAATAATAGGGCACACCACAGTCTTTCTGCAAAGCAAAAACAAATATTAACCTTTATCGTACGTGTGTAGCACAACTGTGCCGCCAGGTCTGGTATGACACAGCAGGCACAGTACCATACTTTTTACAATGCACTTTTTACGCCGCCGCCGCCGCCGCCGCCGCCGCCGCCGCCGCCACCGCCACCACCACCACCAAGTTGAAGCCAACACCATACAATGGTGGAGAGAACAATATACAAGTATGGGGCAACCTACTTATAAAAGATTAGTTTTAATATAGATTCTCTCATCCATGCATGCCTCTCAAGTGAAATATTTTCTCTGAAGTTTTCATGTCCCCATTGCATGCTACTTGTCCTGCACAGTTCATCCTTACTGAGCAAGCAGAAATATTATATACTGTTATATAATTGAACTTACCTATCTTCCACTATCCTGGCAAGCAAAGGTTCCAGCCAGCCCTCTGTACATTCACAATGAGCATCCAGAAAGGTGATAACCTGCCCCTTTACATGCTTTGCTCCGAGAAGTCTCGCCCGGATTAAGCCGGATCGTTTCTCTGTTCTTAGCACATAAACTGGGACTGGTAGAGTAGACACATAATCTTCAAGCTGTTTTCCTAGGTGTTCTGAAACAGGGAACAAAATGAAATACTCTATCAGTAAAACTGCCACCATAACTGGTATGTCTTACAACTGACCACTAACAGATTACAAAATATTGTAGCATGAAGACCTGTTACTAGGTAGTGCACACACACACACACACACACACACACACAAAAAAACACACAACAACAACAACAACAACAACAGGTTTCCACGGCGAGTTCACGTGCAACAATAGAGGAACTGTTGGAAATGATGTTTTCCATGTAGTCCATGCTAAAGGGTTATATAACAAGGACATCAGCTAAGCTGTCAGTGACTTGTAAGTCAGTCTGCGGAGCAAAGAGTAGGAATTGGTGTGAGATGGCTGCCAGCCTCAGTCAGTCAAATGGAACAAGATGAGTTGCGGGATATCTGCCGGACAGTAATGACATGAGCACAGAAGCTGGAGAATCTCCATTGCAAAGACACATTTCCAGGAAACAAACAGTGGAAACAGACTGAGAAGGCTCAGCATGTGCTGTAATGATTTGTAAAGTGTGGAGATTAGCAATTGTGTTACAGTTACTTGTAGTTACAATATGTAAGCGGTTAATAAACCCAATCTCCAATCCAAACCCCCTTCAACAGCCACATCCTAATGCCTGACAACTGGTGACAGAAGTGGCTGGATTGGAATCACACCCAGACACGTGATGTAGAGACAGCACTAAGCTATATATCACCACATTATGGATATCAAACAAATGATGGCATGCCTGTTGGCTGAAATAAGAACCAACCAAGAGGAAATGAAAGAAGACATAAGAACCAACCAAGCCAAGATGGACAGCAATCTAAAGGAAATGAAGGAAGAAATGACGGCAAGACTTGAAGCCAATATCAAGGCCAATAATGATAAATTTTAGGTTTTTCAAGGCACTCTTGTCTACTGGCTGGATATCCACCAAGCCAGGACAGAGGCCATTCAAGAAGCAATAACAGCCAAGATGGATGCCCATTAGGAAAGGATGGAAGCCAGTATTGATGCCCAGGTAGAAGGAATGAAGGACTGCTTAGGAGTGATGGAGCCCATCTGGAGAGGAAGAAGACAACCCCAGGGGAGAGGGTGAATGTAACGGTACACCTTGAGGATTCTAATTTAGTGTGACATGCGAGGAGATGATCAGGCCAACTGTGGGCTGATACGGGGACCAGTGTCTAGTGGTAGGGTGCAAATGACAGCCAAAGACACAGACCCACAGCAATGGCGGGTACAGGCAGAAGCTGACAGCTGGCCAAGGGTGGTTGGCCCACCATGCTGTTCCTGCACAGCATAAGGGACATGGTCGTCAGGAAGACACATTGGCAGTGCCTGGAATGCAGCAATGGAATAAGGCACCAAGACTTAAAGGAGCAACTATGTCTGAGGAAGGAGAGGACATCCGGCAGGATCTTCAGGAAGACCGTACAGCTTGAGGTTGGAAAAGCAAATGGTCAGCACTTTCATCAGACTGAGGAAACAGCAGTCTCTAATACCTCTGGTAGATGGGGGAAGCATTATAGATACCTCTCAGCTAGTAGAGCCAGTCTCGCTGGCTGGGCGGGACTGATGGTAAGCACCAGTACCGGTAGGATATAGAGATTGGCAGAAATCATACAGGGAAGCACAATGGACCAATACAGGTCTCAGTGCATGGGGAAACCCACCCTCTCCAATAACTAACTAACTACTGTGTGCAAGAATTTGGATTGAAGTCTCTGAATTATTTTTGTGTTTGACAGTTTTGTACAGCCCCATAGCTGTATACCTTATGTCCATACGGGTTTTATTATACACTTGTACAGTAGAAGTTTGTTCTCTATGGATAGCTTGGATTTACAGCCCAAAAGCCATACATTTTTCCTCTTAATTCTAATGTTCTTCTGGCTCATTGAAGGCAACATTTTCATGGTGGACAATAAAGGACTTAATTTGTAGGCAAGGAAAGTGAGAAAATAGGCACTACATCATCAGGGTCAAACTAAATAGGCTTATCACTGCCTGGTAAGGGTCCAGAGGAGCAGAGCAAGTGGATGACTGTGGAGATGTGGAAGGTCCAGGCCTTCCGGCCTTCATTTCAAACTTATTTAGAGATAGAGTCTAAAGCAGCCCTGTCAAACATGCGGCCCCCACAGCCACAAAGTGCGGCCCCCTCAACTTTTAGAGCTAATTTATATTAAAATTTTAGTAGAAATATTTTGTGTAAGATAATTTTCCAACAGACCAGAAGACAAGAAGTCTCATGCAGACATAAATTAGCAGGCTGTAGGAAAAGTGATTCTGAGAATTGCAGAAGGGTTTGTCCAACTAACGGTTTGTAAAGTTTGTGAAGGACAAACTATTGTATTTCAGACACACAGAATTACTGGGTTTCTGGACTTTTTCCATCGTCCAGAATTCTAGGTAATAGAGGACACTCTAGGTCGTGTCCTCTGTTCTATGATTCCGGATGATGGAAAAAGTCCAAAAACCCAGTAATTCTGTGTGTTATTTAGAGATGACTGGAGAGTGATATTTAGTTCTCTTCATATATATCTCTCTACAACAGGTCAACATATCATCAGTCCCTCTGTTTACTCTCAAGTATCATGAAGAGTTGAGGTCCATCTTTTCAAACCAGGCCACTGCTGATGCAATCTCATGCAGTGCACCTGCCATCTCCTTCATGCTGAAGTACTGTGGCTCTGTATTTCCATCACTAACCTTATGTACAATCAGTATCTGAGAAAAGTAATTCTTCCACATATCAAAAATTTTGTTTTTGTTCTTACTGTGTCTTGCAAGATAATTAATTTTATCTTTCAGATATTTCCTCTTTTAATTATGGAATATCTACTTGCTTCATGTCTTGACACTGTTCAGAATACCTCCACTTACTTGGCACAGGTTCTGTAACCACTGTAATCTGGCTTACTTCCTATGGTCTAATAGATGTGAATATCGTATGTCAAATCATGGCTTATGCTGCTTAAATTCATAATAATCCAGACCCTCTTTAGCTAAAGTTTTTATATTCTCACTAACAGTTTCCCAAGTTGTATTCAGATCTGCATCATCATTAATATTTTCAAAGCTGTGAACCTGTTTTGGGATGTTAGCCTGATATTGTTCTTCACTTGCTGTTGCAATTAGTTTCTTCAGATTCAAGTGCTCCATATCAGACTTTTGTGTTGCTCTTTTACTTACTGTCTCCCCTTAACTTCTGCAACCATCACATAGTGATCAGTATCACAGTCCACTCTCTCAAAGGACTGGCCATCAGGTACACTCAAATGACATCTTGTATCTACCAAAATGTGATCAATCTTTTCATCAGGAGATATCCAAGGGAATTTATGAATTTTGTAATGTGAAAACACTGAACTCTTGACAATTAGATTTTTGAATGTGGTGAAGTTTTCTTTTGCTAACTCCATTAGCATTACATATTTTGTGTAAACTCTCATTCCCAATTGCTGATGTGAAAATACCTCCTCTTCCTATTTTGGTACTGAAATCCCCTAACAAAATTTTCATATGTATTTAGGTAACTGATTGAATATACTTTCTAGTTCCTCACAGGAGCAATCCTTCATATTATAAGTTTTATCCTTTGTTGGGGCATGAACATTCAGAACAATGATATACCAGTGATCTCTCAATATTATATGATGATTAATGATATGCCATCATTAATAAACTTTCCTCTCAACTGCTGATATTATTCTCTTAAGTACAAATAATTCTGTCAGACCTAACACTCCTTAGCTAATATATCCCAACCCTCTCAGTGGGGTGGAGGGAGTTATTTAAAGAAGTCAGTGCTTCAATGAATAAAATTTCATCATGCTTGAAGATAATGATTGCATAAATCAATGTGTGTATTCATACCTCTCTCACTAGCATCATCCACAAGAATTATTTCCTTCAAGAGAGGTCGTGGAGACCTGTTGATTGCGCTCCATATTGTCCTCATTAGCGTGGACCAAGCTTCATTGTGAAATACAATGACAATAGATGTAGTGGGCAACAGTGCTGGATATTGCTTTGACTTACACCTGAAATCAATCATACCAAGTTTGCTGAAATTCAAATTTAATGCCTTCTGAACCAGCAGCAACCAGTCCTCATACCTTATTTCCCCAAGATCCTTTATATTACCCTGCCTTTTATGTTTTGTTTTCCTTAGGGGGTCACTTTCCTTTAAATTTTCCTTCTAAAATTTTACAGTATTTCTCATGTCCCAAGACTAAAGACCACCTGCAAATTTCTTTTTACAAAAATATTATACAAAATAAATTTATAGCTCATTCAGAATAGCAAAAAAATTAAAACGAGATGCACATTATGTTATAGAAACTTACCCGCTCAATCTGACATCTGTGAGCGACCGGTTGAAGGAGATCATGTCACTTGCTAGAAGATTGAATTGATTCAATTTAAATTTCTCTTTCATCAGTCCTTCTTGATCTGGTGGTATGCGAACAGCCTTGCCCAATTCACCAGGCTGTCCATGTTGTGGCAGCACTGTTGGGGCTGGTTTCCATCGTCGCAGAACCTTGGGTGGATACTTACCCTTTTCTGTTATATCTACTTTTCCTCTATCATGCAGCTGCTCATACAGAATTCCCCGCCCCTTACTGCTTCCTCTGCCACCATGGTCTGTACCATGCAATTCCTGAGAACTGCCAATATGTTCCACACGAGCTCCCACACTGTTACCACTGCAACCCCAGCCTGATCCCCCCACACAATCTGAATAGAATGTCAATACAACTACATCCACTAGGAACCACACCAGCGATGTGAGAAGAATCACCTTGCAGGTGTGGATACGTACTTTAGTCCGGAACATGGTGCACCCCTAACCGGTCTGTTTTGCACTTTGGTCCAAAACATATACTGTTGTGTACTATGTAAACATTTTCCCTTGTAATATAGTCATTGAGATCTCTTTCAACATGAGCTACAGTTCACAACCACATGTATGATATGTAAAATAGATGCCTCTGAAGATGAACTAGCTTGGGATTTTGAACTGTGCAATAATCACGTCATAATGAGGAGTTGGTTGTTCATTTAAAGCAGGCAGTTGTCCAAGAATACTCTTTCCTTGTTCCAATTCCTGAAATACAAGAGGCTCACTCAGTACAGTAAAAAAGAGAAATGAAAGAAACCTGAATCTCTAGCTCCTCATGTTTCTAGGCAACCTCACATGGTTTGTTAAAAGATACGGAGATGTGACCGCTGTTTTATAACTTAGCAGATATTAATTGCATAAACATACCATTTTCAGAATCTCAATTTAATCATAACTGATAATAATCATGTCTCAATTCTGTGAAGTTTGATATCTTTGATTTGCCAGTTGAAAGGTTAGGATTCTTACAGAAGACTTAAGCAATTCAGTATTAGAGTACAGTTTATCTGAAGAAACACTAGGGAACAATAGGTTACTTTATGTAACTTAATGTTTGGTTAGCAAGAATATGCAGAGATTTTGTGAGAATCTGAAAAATCACCTGGCCTGTCCAGTGGCAGGAACACACACTGCTTGCACTGCACAGATACAAAGGTAGTCAAATGACTGTAAGATGTGGAACATGTCATATAAATACAAAGAATATTGAAAAACAGCAATAACAGTGGTTATTCAGAGATACATCTAATCACATACATCACATCGTGAACTCATGCTATTTGTACAGCCTTCAAATCACATATTTGTCAACTTATGCTATTTACACAGCCCTCACATGGATGAGTCACTATTCAGACAATAGGTATTCATCAACAGTGGCAGGAGTGGGTGATTAACACACACATGCATGTTTAGACTTGTGGCCTACTTGACAGGCCAATAAACTGCACACATCACAATTCTTCTTCAATACTGCCATAATTGTATATTTTTTTGGAGAGAGCTTATGCATTGTAGGGCTGTTGACCAGAATCCTAAGCCCCTGCTGCTGTACTAAACGTTCAATTGGTTGCATTACTTTTTGTGTCAAAAATGACATACGAGTTACACGCTGAAGTGTTCTTGTACAAGACCCATGTGAAAAGTAAGATGATGATCTGTAATAAATTTCAGGATTGAACATTCCCTTCAGTAATATCCCCTAGATACCCTGCACACAAAACCATAGTTTAAAATTTCAGGTTTCAAGTTCACTTTTTCCAAAAATGTACACCAACATTTCACAGCAAAGCAAGGAACACATGCTTTGCAACATGGCCCATTTCTGGCATCTGCTATGAGTTTTGTTTGTGATTTGTTGGTCTATGGGCTTAATGAATGTGCTGCAGATTTTGACATGAACCAAAGGGCTCCGTGAGCTTCTCTTCTACTGGACTGGCCAAACAATCTGCAGCAGGCTTTTCAAGTTTGCCATCAATCCCACAAATGAAGTCAACAATTTACAATGCAAAAGTCGGGCTTAGGATCTTCACCTGTCGATTGCATACTCACACGATCAATTAGGACTGTTTACACCTGAGGAACAGAAACAGGATGGTTATTTGCCTTTACGGAACCCACAAAAAGAAGTCTCACGACTGATAGGAATTATGAAGCTCAAGACTTCCAACCCTGTGACTTCTGATCTATTTCCTTCCAGTGTTCTCTGATCTACATATGCCAGCCCAAAATGCTTGCAGGCTACACAAGTGGATGGGAATATAGGGAAGTGAGTAACAGCTTCAAGCAGATGTGGAAGGGAGTCAATGCATGGGACTTCTTTCTCAGGCATTACTACAATTACATACATATATGTGTATATATATATATATATATGTGTGTGTGTGTGTGTGTGTGTGGACTTAACCTTGAGAGAAGGATATTGGATAGAACTGTGTATGAAGTTGGTAACATCATCACTCTTCAGTAATCACTACAGTCAGTTTTTCTTAAATTGACACAATAGTAGACTTCTTCCACTGCTCAAGCAGTTCTTCCTTATTCCAAATAGAACTAATTAATTATGGATCTCTGAGTGTAATGTTTCATCCCCTGGCTGAATCAGTTCTGCTGGAATTTGGTCACTACATGGCTGATTTATACTTTTTCAACTTTGCAATAGTGGTTTCAACCTCAGAAGTACTTGACTGAGGTACTAATGGCTCTGCAGTATGTACTTTTATCTGTCTTAACATCACTGACCCTATGTACATTCAGTAGGCCAGTGAAGTATTCAAAATGTAGGAATCTGAAAACAGATCACCATTCTCATCCTTTACTAAGTTAGTTCTAGGTTTCTAACCTTCCTTGAATTAATTTATTCCTCTATACAAGACTTTGATATTGTTCTTACTGTCTCTCCATTTTTTGGCTCAGATTTTGTAACCATTTACAGTGACTTTTTTCCTTTGATCTGATAATTTTGAAGATCCCTGTTGAATCATGGCCAATGCTGCTTCTGTTCATAATAAAGTAGACTGTTCTTGGCTTAAATTTTGTTATACTTGTATATATACACACACACATATATATATATATATAAATCATCAGTGTGAGTTTCAATGTGATTGATCAGCTACTGGTATGACCTTTTGCATTTGTCAGATACTGGAGAAAAGAATGCCAGTTCAGTGAGAGAGTACAGTGACAGTAGGCTTCAAGAAAGCCTATGATCCAGTTAGGAGGGAAGTACAGCACAGTGCATGCACTAAGTTTGGTATACCTATGATGAAAGCTTGTTAGACTTACGAAGATGTGTTTAAAGGTAACATCTGTCTGATACATTTCCTATTTAGAAAGTCTAAAACAAGGAGATGCTTTACTGCCACAGCTTGTCAACTCTGCTTAAGATATGCCATTAGGAAGGTCCAAGAAAACCAGGTGGGACTGAACTTGAAAGGAACACATCAGCTTCTGGCATATGATGATAACATACATAAAAAAAACTCTGTGGCCTGTAGTCCGTAAGCGAACTATACTGATTGAGCGACCACCGCAGATAATATAATACCAAAAGGAAAAACATGGAAGCCCTAACTAACATTACTAAAATTGATGGTCTAGAAGTAAAAAAAGAGAAAACTTAGATGTTGGAGTCTCATCACCAGAATGCAGGGCAAAATCATGACATAAAAACAGTTAATGGATCTTTTGGAAATGTGGCAAACTAAATGGTTGGGAACAACTGTATCAAACCAAAATCTGATTTATGAGAAAATTATGAGCAGGCTGAATTCAGGTAATGCTTGCTACTATTCACTTTGGAACCTTTTGTCTTGTGTGCCGTCAAAGTAACATAAATATTAATACACAAAACTATACCGACTGAGTGACTGCCTTGTTGGCGAAGTTAGTGCCAATTTTAGGGGATAGAGGGTGTCACGTGGTCAGCATAACGAATTCCCACGGACATTAATTTCAGTTCAGAGTCGTTGTTTACATTCCCTACAGTACGGACAATACGTTGTAAGATGAGGCACCAACTAAACAATTAACTTTAATTTACTACATCTACATCACAAGCCTCCTATACAAACTTATATACGAAAAGAAAATATATAGAATATTCCAATTTGTCAAAATTACAAAAATTACAAAACCAACGACTGATTCGATGATATAAAACATCAATTTAAAATTTTATTCTTGTTTTATACTATAACTTCTGTTTTATATAACTGGATTTATTGTATTTTTTACGTCAAGTGCTTTATGAGATTAGTAGTACTGTATCCAGTTTAATAGTACTGCAGTTCAGTGGTGTATATATGTTAACCGTGTATTTGCCTGATGATGGCTGCTGATAGCCGAAACATGTAGCAAAGCCGTAGCTAGGCACTGATCTTGATATTTGTTGTGTTGTGACAGTTAATAAAGAAGTTGTATTAATTTCAGTTTTCTAGACTGGGGCCGCTATTTCCTTGAAATAGCTCCTCTATCGGTATTGGTATAGTTCGCTTGCCGACTAAAACCATGGAGTTTTTTATACACTAAACTATAATTTTGCCTGTACTACCTATTATGGGTATGAAACCTGGTCTCTGAGATTAAAGGAAGAACACGATACTGATAGCGTTCTGAGGACTAGGTGCTGAGAATATTTGGACTGAAAATGGATAAAATAATAATGATGAACTTGTACTCCTTGCCAAATATTATTAGAATAATGAGGATGAGATAGTTTGGGCATGTAGGGTTTTGGTGGGAAAACCAAAAGGAAAGAGACCACTTGGAAGGCCTGGACATGGGTGGGAAGATACTGTTGAAATGAATCTTAGAGAAACAGGTTGAGATGGTATGGACTGGATCCATCTGGCTCAGGATAGGGACCAATGGCAATCTCTTGACAACATAGTAAGGATCCTTCATGTTCCATACACTGTTGGGAATTTCTTGGGCAGCTCACTGTTGGTTCATCAGAGTGACACATACTTGTAATATGTTTAATGTCCGTTAAGTTCATTCAACCAATCCAAACATCAGACCCCTTCGATTCTTCCTATGTAGTTAACCTAGTCAACAACATACGGCCTGTGCACGTAACCTCTTACATACTTTATACAAAAAAAGTATACACTGATTACTTTGAAGTAAAAATAAGCATATTTAAGACTAAGGTATATTGGTCTGATAAAGAAGACACATTAAATTACTGACGTACAGACCACGTTGCACCAATAAATTACATACCTCCCTCCCAATAATTCTAGGTTTTCAAGTGCTGGATATAGTGACACATACTGTTAATTATTAATGGCAAGACTATACACACCATTATTTCCTAAATAAAATAAAAACAACAGTTCACACCCGCACTCTACATTTTTTAACTGCACTCCATTACAATTCTGCCTAATTTCAAACTTCCCCACTAGGTGGTAGCACATTCCAGCCACGTCACACATGGTCACGAACGTCACGAAGACCCCCAGTATGAAAGTGTATTAACGCGTGTAAACCGTAGAAGCCATGTGCCGTGGACTCGAGACCGGGTTAGAAGAAACCGAAGCCCGAGGTGAGAATGAATATAGCGGCAGTGCAAGAACCGATGTAGACAGGATAAAGTTGCCAAAATTAAATAAATGCCGGCAAAGCAGCCGTAAGGAGGGAGCAGTGTGACATGACGCCTGAAATGCGGAACAGTGGAACACGGAGGGACGGCGGTTGCTGGGCAATAGCATGATGATGGATGCAAGGCTCAAGATTTCAAGATTCTCTGATTGACTCACACTTATGCGATTCGATTAATTGCGATAGGTGTATAATGATGTATTCCAGTCATTTCCAGACTATCTAGTTCATGTAGGATGCGTAGAGATGGAAGTTCTGCATGTTTCCCTCCCTCCTAAGCGATTTCCCCCCCTCCTGGATGCAATAGTATAAGAACCGTCGGAAACAGCGTTTTCCATGTAGTCCGATATAGTCTGGTTCGAGGTTAGACGGCGCACGTGTGTTGCAGTGGTCGCAGTGACTACTGAAGAGCTAGCAACCTGAGGAGATTGTGTTGTAATAATTTATGGTGTGTGCAAATTAGTGGGAGTGATACAGTTGTTTATAGTTACGATTCATAAGCGTTCAAGAAATTGAGTAATCAGTTCAAAACTTTGTGTGTCCACCAACTCGTGACAGTATTGAAGAAAGTAAGTACGCAAATAAGAATTTCTCTTAAGTCTTTTCAAGCGTCGATGGTTATTTTACGTGCTCAACATGTCCAAAGTAGACAAAAGCTATATATTGTATGTTTTGGCTGTCTGTAAGTGAATTAAGAAAGTGTGCCGTTAGAATTATAGGATTTTGTGAACCATGATATATGATGCTGCCCACAAATAATTTGTAATACTAGTACACGAACTGTTAAAAGGCCCAAATAGTAGTTATGTTATATAGATTTATATAGTGAGGTTCTTCAGGCAAAAATTTTGTTGGAATTACAGTCATACTATATAAGAAATAAAGCTTTCCTTCATAAATACTTGGAGGTTTGATGAAGGGCCGGTTTTTCGGTAACCGATATATTTAATAATGGTTAGGTGCATCGTGCACATAGAGAAGCAGTAATTGTTTGGAAAGCTGTCAACAAAATCACAGTTACATGTTGTATTTGTTATCAGTGAGATAAGTATCTCTTATTGTAATTTGTCAGTTTTCTTCAGTAGTTACTGAATTGTGTTGCAAAGCTTGTTAGTGTGGTGTAGTGACTTCCTTATAACATTAGAATGGTATGGAATTGTATTAGGAAGTTAACTGTCATGATGTATGGAGTTAAAGTGAGTGTTTATTTTAACCAGTGTTATAGTTTTTTATTGTCATTAGACAGGGTACTTATTTATTAATGGGTGACCCAAAGAAATTTAAGATTTAATCACATTTGATTTGGTTCATCCAGGTCCGTCACACTAGCACACACACTGGACCTCCGTCCAGTGTTACTGATAAAATGTATAACAACACAGCGCATCCCGAACAACAGGATGACACAAAAGAATTTTGTTCATCAAACAACGGAACCTCTAGGTGGTAGATACTCAACTTTCTTTAAAGAGAGGGAGTATAAAGGACATGAACCAAATTGGTTCTAAATTTTAACAGAGTATTTTTAAACCACACTTGTAAACAGACTAATTATAATCATCTATAAATATTTTAACATATTCATGCACGTCGTTGTAATTGTTAAAGGACCAAATTTTTTATTCATGGCATGATATTGTATGCATGTATTGATATATCCTTCTGAAGATGGTCTCTAAGGCCGAAACATGCCAAGGATGAAAGATCAAAAGGATGGAAAGAAAAAAGTTATAAGTCACACTGGATGGAGTTGATAACCTTTTAATCACCACATTGTTTCATGTTTACATTTACTCGTACATTTATTTATCATTTCATGGATCCAATCATCTTCCCATAGGGCTGGGTATAAAACATGTGACATATTACAAATTCATGATGACTACACATCATTCGTCCTTGGTCCAATAAAATATAAAATCAAGCCTGAGACAGAATAGCTCAAGTTGTCAAGACAACACACATAGGTCATGGAAAAATCACAATCAAATTCACAACTTGCCATTCCACACGCTGGCAAGCCGTATCATCCGAACAGTCACATTATAAAATATTAAAATTCATAACAAAATACCGACATCATACATACTACTACACTTACAACAAGCAAGTCTCAACAATGTATAATTCACGTGCACGGACCACTTATTAACTCTTAACTTTTGAGCCACTTACATGCTCGACAAATTCATCAATAGAGTAAAATGCGTTATTTTACAAATAATTTCGTAAAGAAACCTAAATTGCTTTTTATCATTTTTTAAATGTTAGTGCTGCGAACTGTGTAAGTTATCTGTGAAAACAAAACCCTTAGATAGTTTTTAGACGTTTATTTCTAACAACAAAACCAAGGGCTTAACCTTGGTTGGTTTTCATATATTTAAAAACAGAACCAAAAAACAAACATATTCAGAATAGAACCAAAGACTATAACGTTTTGAAAACAAACTCAATGCCTAACCTTGGAAGATTATTTAATATAAGTTTTCATAACAAAAAGAATAGCCTAGCCCCTTAAAAACAGAATCCAAATCCTAACCACATGGACTTGTTGGAGGCAAATTTTAGTATTGGGCTTTGGGTCTTGTATTTACAAATATACCTTTAAGTTTGGTAGCGCTAACATGGCAGAAAACTTTTAAAGTTATTTGGGTCACCTGTTACTAGCTTTCATGTACCTAGGACAGTAATGAATTTTAAGTATTAAGGGAGATGAGTGTTATGACATACAGAATTTTTAGTAATTTCTCTTGGGTCTTGCCTTTCTACTGTTTTTGATATTAGAGGGGGAATATGAATTTTAAGTATTAAGGGAGATGAGTGTTATGACATACAGAATTTTTAGTAATTTCTCTTGGGTCTTGCCTTTCTACTGTTTTTGATATTAGAGGGGGAATGTTATGTTTTGCTAGAAGCCAGGGTGGCTCAAATACAATACTGTAGTAACTAGGCTACAGGTAGGATGACCAGGAAGTTAGGTCTTGAAGAGGAGAGACTTTTCTCTTCTCCGTGTCATCCAGACTGGCCCCAAGGCCCACACAACTCGCTATCCAATAGGTACCAGGATTGGTTTCCTCAAGGGGTAATGTGACTGGGGCTTGGAACTGACCGCTCACCTCCTTTTAGTGTCAGGATTAAGAATGCCTGGAGCTATACCTCCACTCCCCATATGTCTTCAGGGCATGATAATTAATTAATTAATTGCAAGGGCACCTTTATTAGCCTATGTTCCTTAATTTGAAACAAATGACAGTAGAGTAATGCACTTACTGTGCTCTCTGTGTATCCCCCTATTAACTTTAGAATGCTTGAACCAGCCTTTTAGAAGCCTGGTATGTATATCATGACACCTGAGCTCATCTCAATGACATACTTCATAAATCCATCCCATCAGTCTGTATTTGTATTCTCCTATTGTTGCTAGGCAACAGCTTGGTAGGAACATTACCATGGCAATGAATACACATGTAAAAATAAAAGAATTGTTGAACACATCATTTTGTACATGGTCTGTGTTGCATAAAAGGAAAGTAGGTGATTAGTTCTTTGAGAATTTGTTGTCATTATCATCACTACCACATTACAGTAAAGTTTATTGGTTTTCTTATTGCTGGTATTACTGCATATCACTAATTGACAATTGACAGCCATATTGTCCATTTTGTAAAGGCTCACTATATAGCAAAGAAATTGTATGGTATGTATTCTCCATTCCAGTTATGAATGATTATTTACTAATTATGTGCATATAAATATGATTGACAGTAGCATAAAAACGAATTTAATTACTCTGTAATTAGCCAAGTTCTGGGTCCTAAATTAAGCCACAAACTTAAAGCAGATGACGCGATAAAGTGCTGCCTGGTTGGGGCTATTGCACACCTCAGGGGTTGGTGATAGGAACATATATAGGAATAGTACAATAATCATTGGCAGGAGGCAACCGAAGAAACACAGAGAGAAACTTGCTTCAGTTCATCTTCATCTGCCATGAATCTCACTTGTGATTACCCGGTAGTCTACAATGGGAAGTCAGCATTTAACTGTCTGAGCTATAGTACTGTCATTAATTGACATTCAGTAGTCATACTAACCATTAATCAATGTTTTATTATATAATAAGGAAATTTTGTGGTCTGAATTCCCCATTGCCAGTCTGAATCGTTTATTAATTAACTTTGTATAAATATGAATGTCAGTACCATGATCCACATAAATAGTGAGATTTTTATTTGACAACTACATAACTGAAATCAAGCCAAATTTCTCTTATTTGAAAATACACATGAGTTTATGAAATTGTTCATTCTTTTGTAAATATAACCATAGTTTTATTCTTTTAGTTTATTTAATGACACTGCCCATAACTTATGATATAATGCTGAATGATCAGATGAAAATGAATTAGAGGGGATTTAGAAGGAAGCAGTTGTGACTTAATTTAATAGACTGTCCTGGAATTTACCTGGATGGACAGAAAGATTTCAGTGTCCTGGCCTCAGTTCAAACCAGGCACATCCCAAATGCAAGTTAAGAGAGATTAGTGCTTGAGCCAACTTGTGCCGTGTTACTACTGTTACAACTCTTGGGATGTCTCTCACACTAGTAAGCTTAAGTGTGCCACCTTCTGTGATGTACCAGGGAATAACTCCTCTGCCACAAAGGTGAAGGAGCTTGGATAGATCGGTTGGTATAGTGGCTAGGTTATGAGCCTCAGACTCTGATTGTTAAGCCTCAATCCTAGTCACTATTCGTATTCGTATTATGAGAGGGGGTGGGTTTCCACGTGCACTTAGACCAGTTATTGGTCCATTGTGCGTCCCCCTTTAATTTCTACTGTCGCCATACCCTACCGGTAACGGTGCGTGCCATCAGCCCCTGTAGAGCCAACGAGGTCAGCCCTCGGTACCTTGATGCTTCCCCCATCCACCAGAGGCATTGGACACTACTTGGGCAGGAAAGGGCCTGTAATTTAGCTCAGAGGTCTCCTAGAGACATGAAGTTCTTCTACATGCTGTAAATCTACGACACGGGACACACGGCTTAAAGTCCCTCCCAGAGGACTTGTTCCCTGAATTTTTCCGCCCTTAAAAATTCCAAGACCTCCGCCAGGTTTGAACCCATGTACCTTGAGTTATGAGGTGGGAACGTTACCCCTAGACTATGGAGGCCGCTATCCTAGTCACTATACTGGCTGAGATACCCTAACTTCTGTGACAGCAAGTATATCAGGAAAGTTTTGACTGAAAAGATGTGTTCGTTATATGCCCTAATGGTGATGTACAGTGAGTTTTCTAGACCAGCACTTCTGTGAAGCAAAATTTATACATTATGGGTCAGCCTGACTTGACAAGAGACTGTCCAGATCTACTGCCAGATTGCCAGTTCACACAAAATTTTGCTGTAATCCTTATGGGCATAAGAATGAAGAATACAGGTTCTTCTGTTGATGTATTAAAGTTACTGTGTCAAAGCTTTGTTCATTGCGAACTTTCCATTATACAAAAATATAAGACTGATATCTGAGTGTTACACTATTTTCCAAATCTCACTTCAGGTTAAAGTCTTTAAATAAAAATACTTTAAACATTCACAAATTTAAGCAGTTTCACTGGGATTTATATTTTGCATGTATTATATTGTGATTATTTATTTTTGTAGGAATGAGATCAAGTCATCATTCATCATCACAGTCTTGTCATCACATGTGTTCAAGGAGACAAAACCACCAGTCACCCTGGTCACCGAATAATATGCCGTATCCAGAGGACTTTGGGCAATACGAACCATACTACACTACTGGGTGTGTATTGTTTTTTAGAGATTTGAATGTAAGATCAGTCACTATTGAATATATCTAAAACTTCCTCCCCCACTTAAACTTGTAACTGCTTGGAATGCATTACTGAATGTGCTTGGTCTGAATAAATATAAACAAGCAAGTGGAGATTCAAGGTGGTTGCCTGCCCCTCCATACTACCTGCTTGTTTTACTTCACATCTGTTAATAGCTCAATGTCACCTCCCTTGTGCTAGGAAGAAGTTTCCATTTGCTTTATTGATATTCATTGTTGTTACCATTTGCCATATAATCCTCCTCTTTCTTTCTCTCTACACAATCAAGCATGCACACATGTACACTTGCGTGTGCAAATACGCTATATGCTGCATATGAATATACAAGGTGTGACAATTTGATTCCTGGAATGGCCCAGTGAAAGCAAAATTTGTTTACCTGTGCACTAGCGGCTGCTGTCATCTGCGAAATACTCTGCTTGTGAAGCTATGCACTTTTTGAGATGATGGTGCCACTGCCGGAAACAGTCCTGGAAATCGTTTTCTGAAATACCTCGCGGTAACATTGTCACATTTTGTTGGATGTTAGGAAAATCAGCAGATCTTTGTTCCTTCAGGGCATTTTTTCAATTTTGGAAAGAGCCAAACGTCACAGGGGGATAAGTTAGGTGAATAAGGTGGATTGTCCATTTTTGTAATGGATTTATTAGCCAGGAACTTGCAGACTGTTAGTGTATCATGTGCAGGGGCATTATAATGCCGGAGAATCCACTTGTCTGGCCAGAGTTTGGGTCTTTTCCTCCAAACAAATTCCCATAACCTTGTCAGCACTTCCAAATAACACTATTAATTCACTGTTTGTCCTTCTGCAATGAATTCATAGTGAAACCCTGGTTTCATCACCATTTACTTATATGATATGACTGAGAAATTCATCTCCATGTTTGTGGTATTGCTCTAAAAAGGTGAAAGCCGAAGGCATTCTCTGCTTTTTGTGTGCACCCATGAGTATTTTTTGGGTCCATCTTGTACAGAACTTGTGATACCTAGCCTAACTGTGATAATCTGATGGAGAACAGTGTGAAATTTGTGGAAATTCACACAAAAGTTCTGAAATTGTGAAGCACCATCTTTAACAAACTTCTTGGTCAACACTTCAAACAAGATCATCACTCACTACAGATGGCCAGTCACTTTGATTTTTATCGTGAACATTTTTTCGCCCATCTTTGAACATTCTACACAGTTGTCTTACAGTTCCTTCACTCATTACAGTTTGGCTGTAACCACTGCACATAATTTATGGTACATTTATGCAGCATTCATGTTTTTAGCATGAAGAAATCAGATAACAGCATGAATTTTGTGGCTGGAAGGATTATCAATCGTAGGACACATTATAACTCACTGTGTAGACAAGAACAAACATTACATGACCAGTTATGTGATGGTTTACAAGGCAGTGATCCATGTGACAGTACCTCACATGTGCAAGGTCTCACCTGCTCCTACTTTAGTTGCCTAAGTAAACGGAGGTTACTTTCCACATAGCCCTTGTATATTGAAGTGGATGTGTGAATTGTGGTACACTGTAAAGGAGGCAGTTTATGACTTACTATATCATTACATCATAAACATCAATCTCGACGCATCATTCATTAACACATAGAACTGGGTAGGAATACAAGGGAAAACAAGAAAGTTAATAGTATGAGAGCATATGTAACAACTTATGAGACTTCCCATTGAATTCCCAATGGACATTGCACTAGTTTCTATACAGAAATAATATTCCTCTCAGTATTCTATGAATTTCATTTGTAGAGAACAATCATTTTGTAGATTCACATGAATTTTCAAGTATTCATTATCTTTGAGGCAGTATAAATTGTATATTAAGATTACAGTCATCTGTGATGTGACACCTTGTAGTCTGGTAGATAGGTACCGGCATTTCAGAGGAAGCAGCTGCATCCATCTTTATGGCAGAAGATGGCAGTACAAATTGTCTTCGAACATGCAGTTTTTGTGGTCTTTGTCATTTAGGGTGATGTCCAAATTAAAATGCTCTTAAATAACTAACAGTGAAGTCAGTATCAGAATTATATACTACCAGTAATAGGATAATTAATGAATATGGAGCAGTTGGTGGAATGAAAATGCAAGGGAAATCAGAGTACTTAGAGAGAACCTGCTCCAGTGCCACTTTGTCCATCACAAATCATACATGACCTGACATGGGATCAGACCTTGGCTGCTGCAATGAGAGGTCTGCAACTAACCACTTGAGCTATGGCACGGCCAGGATTAAAATGTATGATTGAGACAGAAATATTGAGGTTGCTCTTTATGATCATATTTCAGAGAATGCACACCAGGTAACAGATTCATAACCCAGCTCAGTCCCAGGACTAGGAGACCTGCAGTGTATGCTCAAGATCCGTCTGCCTCTGGTGATACAGAGGAGAGACACCAAATTTCACCACCCCTACGTCTCAACATGTTTGACCAGGTGACTATTGATATTCAGTATTCTTATAGTATTACCACCTGTATTCGGGTGTTATGTCACTTAGAAATGTTATATGTGGGGCTTGTTCCTGAGAACCACATGTCATTTGAAGTGTACTGGGGGTGGACAAACTGATGGAAACACTAAGAAATTGAGGAATAGAATTTGTGTTGGCTACATTGAAAGAACTTCAGTTTGCAACACTGGATGTTCTTCCCTTTGTTTACACTCTGTAGTGCTTGTGTAAGTGGATTAATAAATGTGTTGAGTGACTGAAAAATTCGTAAAATGGGAGACTTGTCTGATTTTGAAAGAATACAGATTTTTGGTGCCCGTTTAGCTGGTGAATCTGTGACAAAAACTGCCACATTATTAATAGTATCAGGAGTGACCGTTTTCGAAGTTATGTCAGCATACACGAATCATTGGAAGAGGGCATCAGCAAAGAGGAACAGTGGGCAAAATGTAATATTGACAGAGATCATCCCACATTGGGAAGGATTGTTTTGAAATATCCCAGAACTACTGCAGCACAGGTGAACTGCAGCAGAACTGAATAGTCATCCTGAAGACCCTGTTTCCCCCAAAACTGTCCTTCATGAGCTTCACAAATTCAACATCCACGGTAGGGCTGCAATTGCTGAACCTCAGATTACTGAAACTAACACTCAGATACCTAAATGATGGTGTCACGACCATAAAACCTGGACATCAGACAGCTGGAAACGCACATGTGATATGGTTAGATGAGTTGTCCTTGACGCTATTCCCTACATCAGGAAGAGTTTACGTTTGGAGAGTATCCAAGGAAGCCTACAATCCGGAAATGCCTTGTTCCAACAGTGAAACACGTGGGAGCTTCCGTGAAGGTTTGGGCAGCAGTATTGTGGTACAATATTCTGTTGGTCCCATTATTACCCTTAATGGCCAAATTAGTGCAAGGGAGCAACTGAACTTGTTGGGTGATCAGGTGCATCCCATGATCCAGACATTATTTCCAAACAACGATGCAGTTTTCCAGGATGACAATGCCCCCATTCACACAGCTGTTCAGTCATGGTATGAAGAGCATGAAAGCGAACTTCAACATTTTCCTTGGCTAACAAAATCACCAGATTTGAACATCATTGAACTGCTCTGGTCAGTTTTGGAGACTTAGAGTGAGGAGTGTAGAAGAAAGGAAGACGAAAGACCTACAATAAATTGTTGCACTTAGGACGGAGTTTATATCATATATCGTATAGAGTGCAACAGGATGCTTAAATATAATATTGTGAGGAACAGATTTACCCCCACCAACATTCCTAAAGCAACTTGAAGAAGTTCTTAAAGAAGAGTGGTATGAAATTCTTCTAGAGACTGTTTAAAACTTGTACAACCCCATATTCATAAAGAATTGTGTACAGTATCTATAAAGTTTCCATTATTTTGACCAACCCATGTGCACTGGTGATTCAGAGTAGCAAATATTTGTTCAGTACTGACTTAGTTCTTAATTAGAGTATATTATTATAGGCACTTTGCACAGCATAACAGGAAAAGATGCATACAGAGATGTCAATCAAAAGTTATAGTTATTAATTTTATACATATATTAATAAGACTTGTAGAAGAATGAATTTGTGAGGAAGAATCAAAAACTAGAAGTGCTATCAAAATCTCGTGTGGTAGCCACAGTAACAGTAAGAACTGTATTAACCATTTGATTTGTTGCAAGTGTAATAACCATAAACCGAGTCTGGAACATCTTTCAGGGTGCATCATCTTCAGAAAGAGAGATCATTGTGTCATAATTAGAATGTTACTAGAGTCTATTTCCTATATGTATTGGGAGCCAAAGTAGCCATAACATAGGCCTGACTGAACACATGGAACGTCTCTGCAGGATGGTTGCTTTCTCAGCATATGGTGTTCATTCAGAGATGTTTTAGATGAAGATTATCAATGCTTAATCATAATGATGCAGATTAAAAGTTGTATACATAGTAGTTACTTGCTTGAAAGAAATTAAGTGGATCTTTAAGCCTTACAAGTAAGTGTGTACTGTCTTTCTTTGTCCTTGTGCCACATGTTCACACAAGCAGCGATCTGTTTGCACATAATTCCCATGGATAAATTGTGGGGTCACAACTATTTTATAAAAGCATAAACAGCAACTTTATAAACTTGTGCTTTTATTTGTGTGTGTATTTGTACGTTAGGTGGTCCTCCAGCTTGGGGGTTGGGCGTGTTGCTAACAACTCCTCACTGTAAAAAATAAGCTTGTTACGAACATTTGCAAGAAGCCTCAGACCTGAATGGATGCCTTGGATAAAGAACCTAAACAAAAGAAAGTGGATATGAGATGTGGTACTTGGAATGTCAGAGGAGTATGTATAGGGCAGTGGCAAAAGAAATCTCAAAATACAAGTTGGATTTAGTGGGAGTACAAGAGTTCAGATGGGGCAGAGGTGGGGCTGAATCAGCAGGCGAATATACATTTTTCAGTGGAAAGGGGAATGAAAATCATGAATTCGGTAGAGGTTTTTTGTACATAAGAGAATCATATCAGCAGTTAAGATGGTACAGTTCCTCAATGATAAGCTGTCATTCACAATACTAAGAGGTTGTTGGTGTGATTTCATCATCCTGAATGTTCATGCTCCAACAGAAGATAAAGTTAATTATATAAAGGACAAGTTCTGTGAAGAACTAGAACGTTAATTTGATAAATTCCCAAAGTACCTTATGAAAATTTTGCTAGGAGATTTCAATGCCAGAATAGGTAAGGAAGATATTTTCAAACCAACGATTGGGAATGAGAGTATGCATGAAATTAGTAATGATAATGGTGTTAGAATAGTAAACTTTGCCACATCAGAAAATCTTACAGTCAAAAGTACAATTGAATGTGGGTAATGCTTGCTACCATTCAGTCCAGAACCTTTTGTCTTCTCATCTGCTGTCCAAAAACATAAAAATTAGAATATACAAAACTATAATTTTGCCTGTGGTTCTGTATGGGTGTGAAACCTGGTCTTGACATTAAGGGAGAAACATAGACTGAGAGTGTTTGAGAATATGGTGTTGAGGAGAATATTTGAACCTAAGAGAGATGAAGTGATAGGAGGTTGGAGGAAACTACATAATGAGGAGCTTCATAACTTGTTTTCTTCGCCAAGTATAATTAGAATGATCAAGTCAAGGAGGATGAGATTTGCGGGGCATGTATCACGACTGGGGGAGAAGAGAAATGTAAATAGGATATTGGTGGGAAAGCCAGAAGGAAAGAGACCACTGGGAAATCCAAGACATAGGTGCATGGACAATATTAAAATGGATCTTAGAGAAATAAAATTGTATGGTATGGATTGGATTGATCTGGCTGAGGATAGGGACTCTTGGAGAGCTCTGTGAACATGGTTAGAACCTTCAGTTTCCATAAAATCCTGAGAAGTTCTTGAGTAGCTGTACAGTTGGCAGCTTCTCAAGAAGGGTTAAGCTCCATGAGTGAGTGAGGGTGGTAAATATATGATACTTTGGAAATGATTTGTGAGGAAGCAGTCATGACCTAATCAAAGTACTATTCTGACATTTGCCTGAAGGGGTTGAAGAAAGCCACGAAAAATCTCATCCCTTTAAACTGGTATATCAGCTGAGATTTGAACCCTGGACCTCCAGAATACAAGCCTAGAAAATGACCATTACACCAATGCTCTCATTTCAGTTCTACACTGAAAATGGTGACACATGATCCCATGTTTGTATACGCCTGCAACATTACACAGTATGACAACCTACAAGACCACAATATAGAATGTCTGGAAGGTGTGGACAGCTCTTATAAGTTGGAGACTCCGACCGACTTCATGTGTCTCACGGGAATTCTGATTGATGTATCTGAAATCTATCTCTTTTGTTCCTTCGCAAATGACAGGCAAGTAAAGTTTCCATAAAGCTGACAGTTGTGGTTGTTTGTTATAGGAGAGTTTTATGCAAGCAGCAGACCCACTGAGTCTTCGCCGCATAGACACTAGTGACACCCACATGGATGGACGTCCACATTCAGGGGCTGTTGCCTTCAGATTCTCCCCACACCGAAACACAGGAGGTGAGGTTTTCATTCATATTTAACTTCTCTTTTCAGCTAATGGAAATCTGGTAAAATTTCATACTGTGAAACCCTTGAATAAGTAGCAAGGTCCATCAAATGTAAAAGTTTAATAGGAAAATATGAAAGTTTGCCTTTGCACGTTTTGGCTACTGCTGGCTATCATCAGACGATGTAGCCAGCAGTATACAGAAATATTTTATATATATGTTTGAATATAAGTTGTCATAAAGGGATTTCTAGTAGCATTAGAATTGAGGGCTGAAAGATTAATGCCCTCAGAATACATTATATATTGTCACGTGTTGGGTGTATGTCACGCGACAAGTAACTTCACACCGTATTGGATATAGCAAATTTATTGCACTAGCTCTCACAATTACACAATTCACAATTTCCCAACTGCTGCCATCAGCAGTATCACAAATACTTCTCCTGTAGTCACTGCCATGCACTCGATACAACCCGACTTGGCAACTGCTATATTGAAACTGACTGGTTACTCTCTCTCTAGTAACTCACTACTGAACAGTGTTCGCTACTCCTTATTTAGGCTCGGCACGAACAACACAGAAAACAATTACGTGATAGGCACCACTGTTGCGTAATGTCATGTTTACCAACTGCCTAGCAACAGTCATTACACGGGCTCCCCTGTTGCGTGACGCTGTGTTTACAAAGGCGTTGCTGGGCAACACTCCTTAGCAACCAGCGTGCTTCGGCTCGGCACGTCACGACAAACACCGCTTTCCTTACTGTTGCGTAACTTGACAACCGACTGTTTATCAAGGGTCTGTCTTCGTGGTAACTTGTTCCACCTCCCGTTGCCCAGCAATGGTTAGACATGTCACAATATATTAAAAGTAGTTAAAATTAATTAAAGATATTTTTTATAGTAGAGGAACATGATAATAGCCTTTGTTTTCTACTGTTGCTTGCATAGAATATCTTACAAATTGTTGTATTGCTGGCCATATATATATCTATCTGTAAATGTAATATAGGAATTACGTAATTATTCTTATGCCATAATCCTTATGTAATGTATCTCTGTGGAATGGCTTTCTTACGCTGAATCGAGGCTTTTACTAAATAGGGTTTATGCAGAACTATGTCAAGAAACTCTTCATTTTCTTGATAAGATTTGCAAATCTAATTATTATAAAATATTTTTATATAAGTAATTAATCTATATTTTTGAAATAAAAACAATTAAATAATAAAAACGTCGAGGACTAAAATAATGAAAAGCACATGAAAAATGCAGTGATTTCACAGTAATGGTTTCTAACAGAGAGAAAGCATGAGTACAGACTCTCTTTTGATCACACTCGCATTGTGTTGCAGCCCAGGAGATAGTATTCTTCATAGTCACTGCTGTCAGAACTTTAAATTTTTGGGTGTTTCAGAGTTGGCAGAATTTGTTTAGAAAGCTCCCAGGAAGTTCCTCCAGTAAGGTACTTTTGTGCCTTTCAGTTGCAGCAAACTGCAAAGGAGCTTATAAAATATATATGGATATTTTGAAATTTACATTTACACTATGAAGTCTGTGATGATAATAGGATGTTTCACACAGTTTGAATTCTGTTCCCAGAGATGAGACTGAATCCAGTAGAAATCCAGCATTCACCAAGAGTTTACTACACACCCAGCCAAGGTGATGGGAGGAGGGTAAGTGAAACTTTTTTATAAGTTATTTTACTACACTTTCAGCAGCTAGGCTACATTATATCAAATGGTGAGTTGATTGATGAGTTGGAAAGAATTCGGAGGGATGTGGTTGTGGCCTAATTGAAGTACTATCCTAGAATGATTGAAACATAATTTATCATTAGTAGGGGCAAAATAATTTAAAAAAAATATTGCAGTTTGTTATGAAGTTTCTTGACAGTTGTATATTGCCTAAACTTGTCAAACTTGGTTATGAAGACACTTATCAGATAGACCGAAATGAAGTGAGGACTTTTTAAAGTGATTAGGAAATATAAGGGATCAGCCCATATGGCAATTTTCACGTTTCTGATTATTAAGCCTACACAGTGTGTTCAGGTTCTGTTAGGACTGTGTTCATTGCAAATACAAGACGTGAATTATTTTCAAAATTTCACTCTTTTTATTCAAAATAGCCTTCTGAATCAATACATAGCTGGAATCGATTGAAAAGTTTTCGAAAACAGTCACTGTACTCCTTTTGTGGAATCGCATTTAGAACTGCGGTACATTCCCTTTTGATGTCCTGGATGGTGTCGTGACGGTCTCCTTTCATCTCCAACTTAACTTTTGGGAACAACCAGAAATCTACTGGAGCCAAATCTGGCAAATACGGAGGATGATCAAGGACTCTTATCCATTTTCTAGCCAAAAAATCGCACATGATCTTCAATTAGTGGGGTGGGGAATTGTTGTGGAGGAGCGACCAGGAACCTTGCTCTCGATATTCAGGTCGAATTCAAAGAATTCTCGCCCACAAATGATTGAGGACTCCGAGATAATAATCAGAATTCACTGTTTGACCTTTTGGCAGAAATTCCTTGTGAATGATTCCTTTGGAATCAAATTGAAGAAAACGGTTAGCAGTGTCTTCACTTGACTCTTTTGCATGCAGACTTTCTGTAGTTTCAGCAGGCTTCTTTGTGTTCAACCCAAAAGCTCCTTGATGAGTCTTGCAGAAACACATCTGTCTGATGCAAGGATTTCGGTCACTTTTTTCACATTTTCTTCAGTGCGACTTGTTATCGGCTTTGATGCACGTGGAGCGTCTTCAGTATCCTCCCTGCCATCATGAAATACAGCATACCATCGAAAAATGTTCGAGCAACTCAAGCAATCACTTCCATACACACTTTTCATCATTTTGTACGCTTCTCCTGCTGTTTTGCCTAGCTTCAAATAAAATTTGATGTTGGCTCTCTTTTCAGCTGCCATTTTCCTATAAGCATCAGAACAGTACTGTTACATTCAAGGTCAGAGCACATGGTGCAGCGATGCTTGCGCGTTGAAATTATAGACAGCCACAGCTGAAACTTCAAGAATCTTAACGCCATAACTCACCAACAGATGGCATTGCAGGACAGAATTTAAAAAAATGAGTCCTAATGGATCCTGGACACACTGTGTAGTTTGGAAATTTCTCCTATATGGATTCCCCTTATCAGCAGTGAGGTTAAGAACTTCTAAGAAGGTTGTAGAATCTAATTGTCTTCTTATCGTTGTTTCTTGATTTTCATTTGGGATTTCATTTGTCTTTCATAGAGGCACTAGCAGTAGGAGAGAATTGTATGGCATGTATTTTGCATTGGTTTTTGTGAGTTTGGTTTGTGTTTTAGGTGTTTGTGGGTATCTCCACATTTCTTATTTAAATATCCCAATGAGGGAACATGATTGCAGGTGCATATATAGATATAGTTGACTGACTACGTGATCCTATGATTAAGATTACCTCATTCAAATGGACACATCTGACTAGGACCCCCCCACCTTTTCACCTCAGAGGTGGTGGTCAAAATCCAGAAAATTTGTAATGATATATAATTTTTTACTTCCAGTTTCTCCAAATCTATTTTTATTAATTCCTCTAGGAGGAGATAATGTTTAATAATTAATCTGCTTTTAGGAGGTGGAATAGCTCTCTCAGTATAATGAGTACATGTCTTAGGAGAGTATTGATGTAAAAGAAAGTTGATTTTTTTCCTTAGAGCACAGGACCATCCCACGGGTGGTGCCAAGTACCGTTGACTCCCACTCCTGTTCGACACCCGCACAGCTCATGGGACCACGCAGGAACCAGTTGTAGGAGTTCACATCAATACCACCCTTACAGTTGGAACAGAAGGAGGTGAGAATACAGGCCAATAGCCATTGTAACAAATAATATTCTCATTACTAAAATACAAGGTAAAATCTGAATATGATGGTGGTAATAAATCCTTTGAAAATGGGACATAGTTGAAGTACAGTAACAGTGAAGCAAATGCATGATTAAATTAACAGAGTAAATTAAATTTGGGAAATGTATGCAGTTATCTGGGAGCCGGGTAGTGCAGTTGGTAAAGTGACTGGCTACGGGCTGGACAGTAGATGGTTCAGAATTTGAGTCCCGGTAGGGTCAAGTATATTCTCTTCTCCAGCCGCTGAGACTGGTTCTGGGGCCCACCCAGCCTCCTATCCAATGAGTACTGGGGGCTCTTTCCCTGGGGATAAAGCAGCCAGGGTGTGAAGCAGACCACTCACCTCCTCCTAGTGATGCAGTCAAGAAAACGTGGATCTACGCATCCACTCCCTTATACACCTTCGTGGCATAGTGATTAATTAGCTAATTACAAGGAAAACTTTACCTTTTTATGCAATTATCTATTTCACAGTTTATATGTGTTTGCCTCTTTCTAAAAACCAGATGATTTATGTGTAGCTAAAATTTCAACTGTAGTTTTATATGTTTATCAAATGTTTTCTCTTATACTAATAGAAAGTAGGCTCCCAGTTATCTGGCATATATGGGAAAGAGGTGTGCCAATTGCATGTATCTGCCAATTATATGAGAAAAACTCATGCAGAAACCAGGTACAAGGCCAAAACAGCATGTTTTCACTTCACATCTTGCGTGAATTTCTTCATAGACAACATATCAGATTGATGGGTGAATGATTTTGGATCTACGGCAACATTATAACAGATTCATCTAGCCTCTACTGCAATGACACCTGTGTGAGCGAGGATGACAGGCAGCGCTGCTGGTGACAGCTGGGAAAATTATATTGTGGCAGATGAATGTATGCACTTTATAACTTTGCTTTTTATGTAACTTTATAAAAATGGTAAATTTTCTTTGAAACTTTTTCTGGTTGTTTGAGAATTTCAGAAGCTGTACTACTGGATAGCATGGCATATACTGTAATAGAGTATCTTGCATTATGGAAGATAATTATTCTTTTCATCGCCCATTGGTGTTTCCAACTGGATTAGTAGTTTCTCTCCTCATGGATAGCTTTTCCAGTTGGATATCTGCATTTTGTTCTTCCAAAAGATTGTTTATTCAGCATCTTAAATGTCAGTGCTGTCAAAGAAATGCTGTTTTAATGCACATCTAAATGTCTCAATTTCTATGCTGATAATATGCCCTCATGTCACTTTGTCAACAGTATGTCAGTATGACCATTTACTGTAATTTCTTGCCATCTGTTAGGTAAAGATTCAATTCATGCCCATAGCATCTTTTGTATGTCTCTGTTATACATCTGTAAGCATGGCATTTCAGCTGATTTTTCTGTTTTGGCTTGCACTTGGGTGTATTTCTCATTAAATATTTTCTTGCAAAAATGAAATTAATTGGGCTGTAGGTAAAGTTGCAAAAAAATTTGAATGAAAAGGTTAAAATATGTTGGTTTTATTTATTTGAACTACATCAATTGGTATTTATTTTAAACATTAAACGTCCGTGATGTGTATGTGTTGACCGTCTTCTAGTGCACGCAATCTCACTTGTCACTTCACTACATGTTTCGGCATCACTGTGTCATCCTCAGGTGTGTTATTTACGTCCTTGGTTTATGCTGACTGTCTTGCAGTGTATACACTGTAAGACAGTCAGCATAAACCATGGACATGAATCAGTGTAACAGGATGCTAAAATATAACAGTGTTATTTACATTGTGAGCAGTGCAGTAGTTTAACGTAAATAACACACCTGAGGATGGCACAGTGATGCCGAAACATGTAGTGAAGTGACATGTCAGATTGTGTGCACTAGAAGACGGTCAATACATACATATCATGGATGAGAATCAGTGCAACAGGACGCTAAAATACAACATTATACGCATTAAACTTTAAATTGATGCATACAAAGAGAAACGAACAAAATCCAATTAATGGTATAAAATGGAGGAGTACTGGTGGAAAAATGGGAAGTGGTAGAACTAGAAATGAAATGTTTGCCAAAGAGGCTGGAATTCTAAATGTGTTAATAGATTTAGAAGATAAACAGTTACAATTGTTCAGTCATGTAAAAAGAGTGACTAGAGCAAGGATATTGAGAAGGGCAGTAAAATTAAAATTTGAAGAAGAAAGTAAACCCAGAACAAGATGTTCATACAGGTATAGGAGTGCAGTAAGGTGAGAGGAAAGAGCTGGCAAGGAATCAAAATTTAAAGGTTTTGGGAACAGAATGGAAATTTGAGACTTCTTCCACATTGATCTGAACAAAACAGAAATTCTGCTAGAAGAACATGATGAGGAAGATTGTTTGATTCTCATAATATTAGCATACTGAGTTTGATTTACTTGTTTCAGCTTTCCAGTTAGACAAAATAACCAAGATGGTCATACTTTGGACCATTGCCACTGCCCAGGAATGTTTCTACAGACCCCACCAACAAGGTTTTCACACCAGCCAGCTGCAATGGTTCCAGAGTCAATCCCAGCGACACATTTGACTGATCACGCATATGCTCAATTGTTCGACTCGGAGCCATATTCCCCACATTACTCGTGTCCAGTGTTCTCTCCTGGCACCAGCTCTGCCTTGGATCTGCGCAGATTCTCTGCTGGCCCACAGGCTACACCTACATATGAGGTGAGTCTGAAATCCACTTGCATTTAAACAAAGATAAGAAAATTAACAGAAATTCCTCTATTTAAGGTTTGCCCTTGTTTAACATCCAGTTTTAATGACCTCCAAGCCAATAAACTCAAATCATCTCAATTTAAGATTATTCTCAGTTTAGTGTTCAAATTTGCTGGTCCCCAAGGAAGCCTTAAATGGAGATCTCATTGTATTTTCGGCTGCCACCAGCCCTGAGAATAGCAAGTGTTAGCTTTCTAAATGTAAGTTTGCATTGGCAGTCATACCAGGTTGTGAGTCCTGGCACTGTGACAACCTGGTATGGTTGCTCCATAGTAAAATCTGCTCTCACTACCACCAACATATGTTCACATCTCACACTATGCATTTCTGAAAAATCAGGTATGTACAGCATCATGTGCTACTGACCTGTGTGATCTCCCTGGATTATTTTGTATTAAGATGTCTGAGGTGCTCACTGCAGTAACACTGAATATTGCTGTCTTCTGGGATGTGACAATGTGTAATTTGGTAGCTATTTACAGATATTTTGGAGGATTGTGTTTCCTCCATGTGCTTCTGCTTGAAGATGAAGATAGCATGTGCCTCCAAAAGGTTGGTAGACATCCACCAGACTACATGGCATCACATCCGAGAAATCCAAGACGACCGTTATCCCTGTAGTCACTGCAATGGTAACCTCAAAATTACTGTCTCATGGGATGGTATGCCATATAATCTGGTATGGGTTTATTGATGTTCCACCATTGTCGGGGATATGCAGGCAGTAGATTCTTCTGAAATGTTGGTACCTGTGTATTAAACTTCACAGAGTAACATCACAGAAGACAGTAATTTTCATTTTGTGCTTTGTAATTTTTTTGCTCTTATGGATGACTGAATGTAAGGGATCCACTGCTTGAAATCATGATGTCCTTGTAGAAAATACCCACATTTGTCATGTGTAAACATGGGAGTGTCTGTTGCAGGGACCTGAGTGGTTTTCTCCGGAGCTCTTTGGTAAGGAGCAGCAGCAACGCAGTCATGCATCTGCATTTCATTGTCCTCACTGTCCAACTGCTCACCAGTCATTATACTACAGTTCCTACCCTTCTTTCTATCAACAGTGCTACGCCTGTCCCTCAACAACGGCATTGAATCTGGTGTCCTTGACACCCCCAGTCTTCCTCTCAGAAGTAAGTATTGTTGTGAGTAACTCAAATGTGTAGTCTTATGCAGTCTTAGTGAAACCTTGGTCATGTTGCATAAAATGGAGTGGAAATTCTGTGGTTCTTTCAGGAACAATGGATTTGAACAGTAAATTGAGGAATCTCTTAACTGGAGGAAATTTGACATTGAGGTTACTGGAACTAAGTGTTAAATGATGAAAACCATTAACTTGAGGAATATTAAATGGAAATCCAATTTATAACACTACCCTTTTCTGTAACCAGCAAAGTGCTGGGTCAAAGATAAAACCCCTAGTTCAAATACCCAGCATGTAATAACATGCTGTCTGGTCAGGGTTGTTGCAAACAAAAGCTTGACCAAAATTACAAATTATTATTTTTGAGATAATATGCACATTTTTAGACCTTGCGTATCTTTTGGGCACAAGGAAAAGAATAGAGAATATGGAAAGAAGTAGCAGGGTAGTGGTTACAGTTGTATTGTGGTTGGGAGCAAAGGTGATGCGCTGTGACCAATGTCCTGATTTAATGTAACCCATACACACCCTACATTTCTTACCTAAGTGGTCTTGACCAAATCCACTGTACACTTGTTGAGAATAACCAGACCTAAGAGATGCAGATAGTATGTTGTTCTCATTCTTTGAGTTGCGACAGTGGTACAAAATCATTCGCTACTGGCTGCATGGATTGGGTTCTCCTCACAGGTACACTTAAATGTATTTCATCACAGTATCCAGAACAACTGTGGTAACATCAGCCTGAATTTGTGGATATTCATGGTGTGTTCAAACAGGAGCATTCTTTCATCTTATTGTACCCATAATATGTAGAAATCCATACTGATTTCATTGGATTTACTTGGACACATTTGGTATACCCGTTCAGCAGAGACAGATTGAGCCTAATAAACTAGACGCTAAATTATTTATGCAAGTCCATTTAGGTTTGAATGGAAATCCTGTAAAGACAAAGTGTGGTTTGAGGTTCTCACAGTAGTGACTATGAAGACTTCTGGGCAGCGATGCCATGCAGTCATGTAGATAATTGCAGACATTTTGGCACAACCTGCTGCCTCCATTGTCAAGTAGAAGAGTAAAGTGATTGCAGAAAAAATGGAGAGAGAAGGAGAACCAATATTTTTTTCATTGTTTTCCCAACTTCAGTTTGGAACAGTCAGAGACTTGGTCTGTCTGTCTCTCTGTCTGGTAAATTGCTGCTGGCCCTCACCTGCACCACCATGCTTCATTTCAGGCCCCATAGGACCCATGACCCATATTCTTTTGTCTCATAACTGAGACTCAGCCTTGGCCCTTCTCCTCTGTATATCTGTATCATTTTCTTTTCTTATGCACATTTCCTACTGTTTTACCCTGATTATCATATTCCTCAGAAATGGTAATGATCTAGGAGCCTACATACAGACAGTTACATTGCAGGAGAAAGTAATCTTCCCTTATAAATCATCCATAATTTAATAGAAATATGAACAAAATAAAATGTTTTGCCTCTTTTTTAATATTTTTCTGAGGTAAGTCTGACAGTGTGCCCAGAAAGGGACACAGAGCTCTGCAGTAACTAGGATCATGATCTTGGGGATATCATTTGGTCAGATCCTGTACAGTGTTATTCTGCATTATGAAAGAATTGCTATGGATATCAGTAAATATGAATACATGCTTAAACTTCCAGGTACAAGGCAGTTGGTTGGACCTAGCATCATCACGCAACAGGCATGTCAGCTTCCGTCAGTGGGATGGAAATCCTCTCTCACCCAATGCAGTTCCATTTCCAGACTTCAGTACGATTGCATGGTAAATGATTAACAGGAATTATCTTAACAATTCTTATTTATTTATCCTTTTTTAGCCCTCATTCCTAAGTAGGCTTGTATGATCTCCTACCTGTCTGTGTCTCCTCCTATTGCTGCTAAGCAGTGGCGTCTCCTGTTTGTTGGGAGGAGAGATTGGCCTCTCAGTGGAGGCCCTCTGACTTACTCTGCCTCTCTGAGGCAGAGACTGAATATCGCCTGTGTTGAACATCTACATGATACATCAGGATGGACCGAAGAGGGAACACTAAATGTAGCACCCAGAAGAATGCTAGAAAAGTAATGGACCAAAAAGAGAACACTAACTGTAACATTCAAAAGGCAGAGGAGATGGTCATGGCTAGGGTAAAGCAGTAAACATGTTACAGTCAATGCTAGGCAACAGCCTTTATATTATTGTGTGTGCATTGGCAAGTCCAAATGTTTTACAGCCGAATTTCCCTATTTTGAAAAAAATATATCTAGGCTTATATATATGTGTGTGTGTGTGTGTGTGTCCCATATTATTGTTAGGCAGTGGTTCAGTAAACGCGTTCCTGCAGCAACAAATACATTTGCAACAACACAAGAATTGTTGGACATGTTATGGTCTATGTGTGCATGTCCTAATATCAAAGATAGTAGGTGACTAATTCTTCTCAGAACTTCTTGTTTAATGATCCTGTCAGTAGCTCAGATTGCACGCTAGGTTGATTAGTGAGTACTGAATTGAGAAGGATGAGGAAGGAAGTGGTAGCCTAATTCGAGATGCTATCCCTGCTGGAAGGATTGATGAAAACCATTTAACCCTCAGTGTGGATAGTTGGCCCCCAGGTTGAGATTTGATTCTGGAATTCCCTAATACAAAGCAGGAGCGCTTCCTGTGTGACAAGAAGTTTGACAGAATTCCTTTAACAACTGAAATTAACTACCATTGTTCTGTGATCTCTTCTGCAATGCAGTAATATATTAAACAAATGCAGGTCCCAAATTTTTTAATCAAATTAACAAAGAAATGTCACAGTTCAAGTCTTTTTTAATCTCAAACTTAGTGGATTTTCAAATAGCTGTTTTCCATTATGAGCACATAGTTGCCTGCAAGCTACCAATTCCATCAGAATTTTAGTAACTGACAATATTAGCATAAACCAACTTGTCAGCAAGAACTCCCCCCCCCCTTCTCTTTTTTCTACCCTTGGCAAAATTGTGCGTGTGGCCTTCGAAGTGTTCGTTTTCCTTTCAAATGTGATGGTTTATGAATATTTTCATTGAACAAGGTTCTGATATCAAAAGTGATAATTAGTACACTTTAATGTATTGTGAACACCTGCTTAGTGCTGTGAGTTGTGATTGCAGTTAAAAATGATTGGTCTTATAGAGAAAATTCTTGTAACCTCAACTCTCAGGTTCTTCCAGATTCTCATTCTGAACTGAAGAAGTCTTTCTTGCCTAGGATATATATATATATATATATGGGTTATTTTATTACTCTGTCAGTATCTAGACTATATAGCATCAAGTGGTGGGGTGAGTGCTATATTGAAAATATTTGGAAGGAAGCAGTCCTGGCATTTACTTGGAAGCAATGAGGAATGCAATGGAAAACCTTCATCATATTAGTGATTCAGCCAAGGATTATAATCTTCATACAGGTGGTGCTGGTGTTACTGTTAAGATTAGTTCGCTGCTTCAGATAAAACTGTATGATAAATTTTTGAGTATGATTGCAAATTGCCCAGTGCCCTGGCTGAGATTCGAACTGATCACCTCCAAAATAAAAGTAGAACAGTACCGTTGTGCCATCCCTTTTGAGAAGCTTATAAGCTTCTAGTGATCAATATGTACTCAGTTACATTTGTCATTGTTTGCAGCGGAGAGATTCCACAGCCGCATGATGAGGCAGTGCTGAGAAGCCCACATTTCACACAGGAAGATGACAGTGAAGACGACTACTTTTCTACAGAATTCTTACAACCAGAAAGGCCAGGAATATTGTCTGATTTGGAAATTGATCAGCTGCCATCATACAAGTAAGCCATCATGTTACACTTATATTTTCAGTTGGTGTAATAGTAAGAAGCATGCAGGATTCTTTTCTTAGGTCAGGTCAGTGTAAGGAAAAGCAATTCATTGTTTTGGGGACAGTTACTAATCCCATCTTTACATCCATCTTTGTGTATAAAAATGTAATGTAATGTCCGCTCTATGAGTTACAGTGAGTTTGCAAGAACAGTGACAAGGCACCTCTTGACAGCTTGCCAGAGACATGTTATCTGTAAATATCGAAGTGACATATGGCATTAGTACTGGAAGACTTTGTTTTCTATAATTAAGGAATGTACGCAATGCACTATGCTATGGAAACCATAATCCTATATTTTGTACAGGTAGTTTACATGTCTGTCTTCTTTGGTTGCATCCTGTTGTGCGTTCCAGATATACGAGGGGGGACCCAAAAATAACCAGAAACGACCTGTTGCGCGCGCATGCTTTGTAGTTATGAGTTGTGCAGCTAGATGGTGTTAGCTGGGGGTCTCCCGCGACTGTTAGTGAGCTGGCGTCAGTCTGAGTTAAGTGGTTTGTCTGTGGTGCTCTGTTGTGTGCGTTCCTGTTTCAACCCTTTGCCGATTAGTGAGATGGCTGACCAGAAGGAACAAAGAGTGTGCGTGAAATTGATGAAGATCGTCGAAAGACCATTGACCAACTTTCTGAGGAAATGAACATCCCATGGAGCACAGTCCAGCGAATTTTAACCGAAGGTTTGCACATGAGACGGGTGTCTGCAAAATTTGTTCCTCGCTTGCTCGGAGATGACCAAAGAGAAAACCGCGTGAATGTTTGCCGCCACTTGAAGAGTGAAGTGCAGTTTTCCCTAACAGAAAGCAAAATTTCATGCACACTCTTTGTTCCTTCTGGTCAGCCATCTCACTAATCGCCAAAGGGTTGAAACAGGAACGCACACAACAGAGCACCACAGACAAACCACTTAACTCAGACTGACGCCAGCTCACTAACAGTCGTGGGAGACCCCCAGCTAACACCACCTAGCAGCACAACTCGTAACTACAAAGCATGCGCGCGCAACAGGTCGGTTCCGGTTATTTTTGGGTCCCCCCTCGTATGTTAACTGTCAACACAACAAATATACTCAGTTTAATGTTTTGCAATTCTATCTTTATTACTGCTACCTGTTTCGGTTGTACAAGACCATCATCAGACAGTTATATATAGGAATATTTATAGTTATTGAACTACTGATGGATCCATACCAGTGCAACGTGTCATATTATATACTAACGTAATTTTTTTTTACCTCAATTTGGTGTTACAATTAAACTAGGAGATACAAAATAAGATAAAAGATAAAATATTAAAAGTATTTTAAAAATGTTTAAAAAATACATTAAATTTTTTCAGCATGGTAGGTTAATAAATATGAATGCCAACTTAAAAACTAAGGTTCCAATGCTACAATGTGGAACTGGCCATGTATGTCGTTTGTACATCTCTATTGTAGACGCTTTCTACGTAGTAGAATCTTAATCATTGTGACAACCACAGATCTTTAAAAAATTTTTGTATATGTCTTAATTTGTTCTTCATATCCAGAAGTCAGAAGTAAATAGAGTCACAGTTACTTTGTTTTTAATAGCAACCACATTCAAAGGCAGTGACATAAATTTAAAAAAAAAAACTTGTTCAAATTAAGTAATCTGTTCATTATTTAGATACATAAATTTTGGATAACTAGTCATTAGTCATACATAACTTAATTAAAATTCAGAGCTGAGGTAGCTCAGTATAGTGTTTTGACTACATGCAGGACAACTGGAGAGCTGGAGTTCTGTTGCCAAGGGAGGGAAGATTTCTCTCTTCACCATTTCATCCAGACTAGCTCTGGACCCCACCTTCTCCATATCCCATTGGTACTGTGAGTCTTTCCTTGGGAATAAAGCAACCACAATCTATTGATTAGATTAAAAAGCTGTGATGTTATACCTCCACTCACACATATGTCTTTAAGATATTATGCTTAATTAAGTACAGAAGCAAATTTACCTCAAGTTTTATACAGTTATTGAACCAGTTCTTAAGTAATGCTGATAATGTGATTTTTTATTCAGGTTCAACACAGACTCCTGCCTCCTAAATCATACATCATGTGTTGTTTGTATGTCTGATTTTGAAGCAGAACAGATGATCAGAGTTCTTCCATGCCTTCATCATTTTCATATAGAGTGTATTGATATGTGGCTTAAGGTAAGTTTATACAGATTACTGCTTTGTGTGTATCACACTTTTATTTCATTGAATCACTGGTCTCCTGTCTGAACTCTGAAAGACTGAAGCATGAAATAGTTTCACCTCTTTTATACAGGGGTGAAACTGGTCTCATTCTCTAGGAAGAACATGTACAAAGGGTGTCAGAACAAACTGTTGAAGATTCACCTGCCCATAGACATATGTGCACGTACATATTAGCATGTGCATTAGATGTTAAATAATAGGTTGCGGTTCAAGGGCCGAGAAGGTCTATCCCTCATACATTCATTGCAGTACAGTTAAACTCCCAGTTTAGGTTTCTTTGGGGATCAGTTGATTTGTGTACTAAATTGATGAAAATCTTAAATGGAGGACATTTGACAATGAGATTATTGACTTTGGATTATTAAAACTGAACATTAACTGACAGTTATTGTTAAGTTGTAGAACATTAAATGGAGGTTCCAGTGTAACTATAAGGTATTCACTCAGTAGGCCAGGTTGTTAGTTGCCAGTTTCTCACTGTGGAGGCCTGGGCTCAGTTCCTGGGTACTCTGTGTAGATTTGTGGTGGACATAATGGTACTGTGGTAAGATTTTTCCAAGCACCTCTGTTCTCCCTGCCAGTACTCCATCTTGCACTAAGGGCTGGGAAACATGGGAGGTTAAGTGAAGGAAAACTTTAAATTGAAGAGTGGATATAAATGTAAGACAGAGGGTGGGAAAAAATTATATCCTGAGGAGCTTCATAATTTTACTCTTTGCCAGTGATACTCTAAAGCTATTCAGATCCTGGTGTAACCTTACAGACTCACAGAGACCTGCAACAATGTGCAGAAGTGCACTTTTCACTCATTGGCACAGTGGGAATCACATCAATTTATGTAATATTTTAGGGGGTCATGGCATCACATAGATTGAGAGCTCCTGGTCCAAAGATAATGCCCAAGACTTGTATCTGGGAGGTTGTCAGTTTGAAATATTGACCAGGCACCAGCTAGCCTGACTGAGTTTTTCATGGTTTTCCTCATTTCCTCCAGGCAAATGCTGGGATAATGCCACAGTTAGGTTTCAACTGCTTCATCCCAAATCCTTTCCAATTTATCAGTCATCCTAACATCTGACACTGCATAGTTTAGGTGCCGACTGTTTTCATAGTGCACATCCTGTTATGTATCACAAATATATGGCAAGGTAAGGTTTCCATCAACATAACAAACATGATTTTACAATCAGTCAATACTCAGATTGAATTTAATTTTATTTTCTACCACTACATGTTTCAGTCCTCATGGAACAATCATCAGACAGTATTATGATTGTACAGCTGAAGTTATTGAACTCCTCAGCAACATGTCCGTGTTATAAAGTTATGCCCAAGTTAGAATGTAAGAATTACAATATTCACCTTCTCAATAATATTAAGAGTATATAAAGAATTTGTATTAAAAGTATTAGCATGTAATGTTTATCAAAGATGAATAATATGTTGGAATTACATCATATTACGAGATAAACCCATGGGAATACAATTGGAAGTTATACAATTGAAAATGGACCAATAACTGGTCTAAGTGCATGGGGAAGCCCACCCCCTCAATACTGAATACTGAATATACAATTAAAACATAAAAATATTAAAATTAGTAAAACAAATATTAAGGTTGTAGAACATGATGTTAAAATTTCTCACATAATATTCAGAGTTTTCCTTATTGTCTGAATATCTGTTGGAAGCCATGTTGTTGAACGTCTCTCAAAGTGGATGTTGTTATGCCCAAGGTTGTGCTATAGTAATGTATTTTGGATATTGTTATGGGTTGTTATGATGTGTTAATAATTCATGTAGTATACGTCTTGGATATAGGTTGTAAGATATCTCACAACCTATACCCAAGATGTATACTGCATGAACACACCATAACAGCCCATAACAATAATATCCAAAATACAGTACTACAGCACAACTTCGGGTGTAATAGCATCCACCTTGAGAGATGATCAACAACCTGATTTAATATAAAAATGTTATTTACTTGTTTCATCTTTTGTTTGCAGTGCAGTGCCACGTGTCCAATTTGCCGTGATGATATATCTCAATATTTCACTGGTGGGGATTAGAAAAGCACCCTGTGGGTTTGTATGGAGAAAGTGCCCACATCTTCAAGTTACAGCTGGTTTTTCTAAGAGCTACCTTTGTTTTTACCTATTTATGTTCTTGCAGTAAGATTAAGTAAATTATGTGTGTGTGTGTATCTAACATGTGCCTTGTATTTGTGTTGTGTTCATGTGGAATAAACAAAAGAATGATTTACCTCAGATTGTGTTGTATCTTCTTTAATTTTGCTCTTCTGTGATGAACTTCTTTGACATCTCACATTCCAGGCTTTGTGAATAATTATTTGTATATAAGCTGTAGTTGTCAGAGTACAGAAAGGGCCGCGCCATAGCTCAAGCTGTTAGTTAGTTAGTTAGTTAGTTAGTTATTTAGAGAGGGTGGGTTTCCCCATGCACCGCGACCAGTTTGATCTATTGTGCTTCCCTCTATGATATTCTACCAGTCTCTATACCCTACCGATAAATGGTGCGTACCATCAGTCCTGCCGAGCAAGCGAGTTCGGCCACTTGCTTAGCGGTATCTATAATGCTTCCCCCATCTATCAGAGGCCTTAGAGACTATTGTTGGGCGGGAAACGTCCTGGAATTTGGCTCAGTGATCCCCTTTGGGGATATGAGGTTCTTTTACGTGCCGTAAAGTTACGACACGGGATACACAGCTTAAAGTCCCTCCTGGAGGACTTGTTCCCTGAATTTTTCCGCCCTTAAAAATTCGACGACCTCCGTCGGATATTTGAACCCGCGTACCATGAGTCATGAGGTGGGAACGTTACCTCTAGACTACGGAGGCCACTTAGCTCAAGCTGTTAGTCGCTGGCTTCCCACCGCGGCGGCCCGGGTTCGATCCCGGGGTCTAGTCAAGTGGGATTTGTGGTGGATAAAGTGACGCTGGGGCAGGTTTTTTCCTAGTACTTCGGTTTCCCCTGCCAATCTTCATTCAATCAATTGCTCCACGATCACCCTCACCTATCATCTGGGGCTGGTACAATAGGCCAGAAGTAGCCGCAGGACAAGGGACTTAGTCCCACCCCACTAGCAAAAAGAAAAAGATTACAGGGAGAAGAGAATTGGAAGAGAATTGGGTCGAATCCGCGGAACTGGCAGCTGCTGGAAATGCTAAGAAGACTTCATAGTGATTTGAGAGATAGCTCACCTGATAAATCCATTGCTAGGAAACGGATAGCGTGTCCTAGTGTTTTATAGAGTGGGAAGATTAGCGATAGCATTATAATTGGTTGTGATTAAGAGAGATTGTAAACGAAGGTATTAATAAATCCAGTCATCCAATCTGAACCCGTTATTATTTGTCACGGAGCTCCGGACACGTGACAATATTCAACGGCGATTAAAGAGACATAACAGTTGTTCTGACAAAAAAGAAAGACTAAGATATTAGCTCTAAAAGAGAACCGTAAAATCGGAGCAGTTACTTCAGCAGAGAAATGAATTCTTATAACAGTTGTTTCACATATGAGTCCAGCTGGAATATAACGTATTTGTTCCTCTGCTGTTAGTGTTCCTCAGAGAGGATATGAAGGAAGTGCTTACCGAGGGAACTCCCCCGGTTTCGATTTAAGTATCTCACCCTTCTGACTGAATTCGACTTAATATTTTCACTCAGATTTTTAAGAGCTTCCTGAGCATCGTGAAACCATCGATGGAAAATACATTTCTTTTAATTTCAGGTGGATACTATTCACATACAAGAAATATGGACATCATTTACCTTGAATGTTTGCCTGCCACCTCACAGCACCCACCAAATCTAGCCGTTGGGCATTTTCTTAAAACCTGCTGCAGCCAGGAAATCAAATCGTATATTAAGAATCCTCCAAGGCATTTTGTAACAGCATATAAAGATGGCATCATTTTTTGAAAGGTGTATATGAAGACTGATATAGTGGAAGTAGCTTACAATGGATTAAAAAGTCAGGAATATTTCCTTTCAATCGACGCCTCTTCGGTGATAGTGATTTCGGAACCCAGAACCAGGAGAAAAGTCGTATAACTAAATAAGAAGTGAAGAAGAAAGTGTTTTATTGGGCACTATCAAGCAGCAACAGAGATAACGAATATTCCAGTAAGGTAGATATCACTACAACTACAGAGGGAGCAAATGAGGGTCAAATTTGCCTTACCAGTCATTCGACATCACACCGTTTGTTTTGCTGACGTCACTGAATAAAGTGCAAATAAAAACATTTCATATCCAGACCAGCTCTGGGGCCTGTCCAGCTTCGTATATGAAATGGTAAAGGTGCTGAAATGTGAAACTAACAGCGCATGTTCGTCTGCTGTCTAGGTCTAAAGTACGAGAAACTGTGCCTCCATATGCATGGGCCGAACGTCCTGTTCCAGCGCGTAGCATTCTTGCTTTACGTGTATTTACGAGGATCTTGGCATTGGGATGGTCACTGCCGAAATTAAAAGGATAGCCAAGAAGCACGAAGATCGGCTTCACGACCACAGCAACGTGGAAGCGGTACAGCTTCTTGACAACGAGGGGACAGTGAGAAGGCTCAAGAGACTCAAACTGTTGGAATTAGTGTAGTGCAAGTGCGCATTAGTGTAAATAGTGATAGGGGTGCGACAACAATGTGCTCAAGACACCAGATGCTGGGACACGCCGGTGGGCGTAGTCTCAGAGTTTAGTTCTAGTAATAGTAGTTTAAGTGAGAATAAAAATGCTCGTTAGTCCCGGACTAGTTTCACTGTTAGGACATTAAAAAAATTTACGAGAGCTGCCTGGTTCAAATCTTGTCTCGGAGAGAGGCTATCCCAGTGGATATTTCATGTTTTTTTTAGTCTTTCCAATTACGTGTCATGGTATTATCTCAAATTAGGTCACTACCGCTTCCTTCGACATCCTTTCAAATTCAAAACAAACAACAACAAACTCCTTGGCTTTAGTCCGCAAGCGCACTATACCGACCAAGCGACCGCCGCTTTTCGGTGAACTTGAGCGGATAGAGGGTGTCGTGTAGTCAGCGCAACGAATTCCCACGGCCAGAATGTGCTACAGAAGGCCGGATGGGCATTGCCAAGGCCTCTTTCGTATTCACGTTTTTTTTCTTACAATTAAAAAAATCCCCACGGCCGTTAATCCCGGTTTTCTAGACTGAAGCCGCTATTTACTTGAAATACCTCCTCAATTATCCTAACGAGGCTGAGTGGACCCCATTCCAGACCCACTACTTCTCAGAAAATCTGGTGGTGCCGGGAATCGAACCCGGACCTCTGGATCTGTAGCCAGGAATTCTGACCACTAGACTACAGAGGCGGTCAAATTCGTTGTAACTACTAATCCTACTCTTCGATCATGGGCTGAGTGTTGCGCCGTTGAACAACTAAAGAAGAGTAACCAACAAACTAATACTTACATTGAGCGTTGTTCTTTTGCGAATTAAATATTCGCTCGTCTATGTCAGAAACTGGCTATAATTTATGGAATCCGAAAGTTCATTACCATGTACACAACAGCCCGCCACTGGTCGCTATCTTGAACCAATTCAATCCACCACACCCTCCCATCATGTCCACAAAATCCATTTTAATATTATCCTCCCACCTATGAAAGTTGTCTCTTCCTTACCACAGCGAGTGAATAATAACAACAATAACAATGAATAAATAAATAAATCAAGAGTCTGGTCAACAGCTATAAATTTTTAACTAAATATCTGAGCTCTACTGTTGTTCGGCTTCTAGATCCATTTCCCTCCCTGCTGAGCGTGCCTGGAGGAGTGGATGACTACCTGAGCGCAATAAGTGACTGGTTGGCTTCAATGTAAAGTGCTCACGGGTGTTAGGTGAGGCGACGTGTAAGTGAAAGCGAATTATGAAGTGCCAGCCAGGCCACGAGTGAGTGTTCAGTGTCGTTGTGTTCCATCAAATTCAGCTTTTTCCTATAGACGTCGTCGTAAGTAATACATCTCATTACGTTTCATATTCTTCAGAGGTATGGAACAGGAATACAGTGCCTTACTGGGTTTCCAGTAGATCCATCGCATTTTATCTCGACAATAGTTGAACATCTTTGTGGATGAAGACATCGCCAATGATTGCAGTGTTGCAAAATTAAGATAATGTAGCGTTAAATCCAAACATTTAGCATGCTTCAGGTCTACTAGTTCATAGCGTTCTAGGTTAACGTATGAATAAACAAATATATAACACGTATAAACAACTAAGTATTGTAAAATAAATGTTCTCTAGGCTTATTAATCCTTTGAAACACAATAGTTATAATACGTATTGCCTGCTATAACATTAAGAATATCTGCTTTTTGCCCACAAAATATATGTGTTCGGTATGATTCTCACAGTTCACAACGATATTACCCTACGGAGCATTAACCTGTTGATTGGTGTAATTGTGTTGTTTGCTTTTCATGAGGCAGGGACTAAATTTTAAAATAGTGTTTTGGTTGAATTTCATGCTTCAACAGGGTAAAAATTATATATTACTGAAATACATTTTTAATATGTGAATGCTTTTCAACAGGCGGGTATTCAAAATGGGATTTGAACCTCTGGATCCAATGAAACGGAGAATTCCCCTTTTGAATGTTAATGAGTTGTATAAATATTATAAAATTTAAATTGGCGGGAAAGGACTGTGTTTTGTTCGAATACAGTACCCTTTAAGTAACTGAACAAATAACTAAGTAAATAAATAGAGACATAATAACTATGCAGGGTTACGCGCGGGGTCATAGTTGGTTGGGGCACTATGCTGCAAGCCGGAAGGTCGCGGGTTTCGTTCCCGATAAGGTCATTGGGTTTTTCAGTTGACCTAAACCTTCCAGCCGCAACAGAACCCTGGAGTCTACTCAGCCTCAAACAGAATTGAACAGAAATATCAGGAAATATCCTGGTGGTAAAGGTACGGCCGGCGCGTAAGGGAACATGGGAACATCGACGTCTCACAACCCTATCGGCCTTCAGGGCCTGTTACAGGGACACCTTTACTTTTTATAATAAATATGCGGACAAGATGTATCCTATGTAGCCTTAAATGTCTAAATATTTTTATTTTTACATTTCTTAGGCATATACCGCATAATTATTAACAGATATTAGGATGCAGTTAGTGATAGGATGTCGTACATAATACCAAGAAGTCACTGGTGTCATATCAATGTTCTGAATGTTTATGCCCCAACGGAGGATGAAATGGATAATACGAGGGATAGCTTCAACAAGGAACTAGAAAGTCTATTCGATAAATTCCCTAAATACAATGTGGAAATTTTGTTAGGAGATTTCAATGCCAACGTAGGTGGGGAAGATATTTTCAGACAAACAATTGGGAATGAGAATTAACACGAAATTAGTAATGATTAGCGTAGTGAAATTTGGCACATCCAAAAATCCGAGTGTCAGAGTACAATGTTCCCACTTTGTAACATTCATAAATTTACTTGGATATCACCTGATGGAAAGACTCACAATCGAATTGACCATATTTAATAGATAAGACACGGCATTCAAATATACTTGATGTCTGATCGTTTAGGGCAGCAGATTATGATACTGACCGCTAACTGTTGGTGGCAAAGGTTAGGGAAAGACTGACAGTGAGTAAAGAGAAAAGGCGCTAAGTTCATATGGAGAAGTTCAATCGAAATAAATTAATGAGGTAGGGTTCGCAGAATTTGGAAACTTAAGACATTGAAGTGGATATTAATAGAGCTTGGACATCTATTAAAGAAAATATAAAAATTTCATCCATAAAGATTGTAGGTTATTATGAACTGATGAAGCATAAGCCATGGTTCAATTAAGGGTGATCAAAATTATTATATTAAAGGAAACAAGCCAAATTGCTGTGGTTACAGTGTTCAAGAAAATTAAATTGGGATAATCTGAATAGTATAAGACATGAAGCCAGCAGACATTTTAGGAATAAGAAAAGGGAATATCTGAGAGACAAAATTGATGAGCTTGCAATGAACAGTAAGAACAAGAACATTAGAGACTTGTGTAGAGGAATAACAGACTTTAAGAGGGGTTACCAACCTATAAGTAAATTAGTGAAGGCTAAGAATTTTGAGCTGCTTGCAGATTCCCACAAAATTTTGAATAGCTGGAAGAACTGCTCTCAGTTACTGAATGTACATAAGGTCAGTGATGTTAGGCAGATAGAAATACATACAGCCGAATCCTTAGTTCCTGATCATACTCATTTTGAAGTTGAAAGTGCTATTGTAAATTTGAAAAGATATGCTCAGAGTTACTGAGTTTTCGGACTTTGTCCGTCTTCCGGTGCTCTAGAAACTAGAAAACAACACAACGTTTCGGAAACTGGATCTGTTTCCGTCCTTTGGTGAGGGCGGGAAGATATCTAATTTTCGTCCCAACAGAGTAAGCGTCTATCCCTTCACCTGAGGACGGAAACAGATCCAGATAATCTGTATTAGCTGAATTAATTATATATATGAGCAGATTATAAGTTGAATTTTCGATTAAGAAACTTGGTATTGTAACGGAGGCTGAAAGAAAAGCCTACGAGGAGAAGAGAATGGCCGAGCGGGAAGCTAGAGATCTAGAGAAAATGGAACCAAATCCAGGAGAAAAGGAGGCTGTAATAGAGCGGCAGGAAATTCCTAAGGAAGAATTCGCAGTTCAGTCCCTGAGGGCATTCCGATACGAGAGAACGGCCTGCCAAGAATCGTCGAAAGCTTCCAGAGAAGATGGAGCCATTTGACCTCTCGACAGCCATCTTGGAATACATGTTAGCCATGACGAAAACTAATCAAGAAAAGATGGAAGCCATGGATTTGAAAGGAAATGTAATGTGATTCGGAATATCGGGAGGTCCCTACGGAAGAAGCCACAGTGATGCCGGTCAGAGGGTTAAGGAAACGGCGTAGGTATTGGAATCTGCCGTGTGGCGCCGCCAGAATCCGAAGGGAAGGATCCGGGAAAGTTATGAATCCAGGAAGAGATTAACCGTCGCCGGCAGGAGGATGGCCCGCTGTTCAGGAGCGACATAGCTCAGAGAGGCGTACTTCAGAAAGGATTGCACCGGGACAAAGGTTGAGCGAGTAACCCAGAGAGTAAGTTCGTTAAGGAATAAATCACGGACGCACCAGAAAGGAAAAAGGGAAACAAATGAGCTATGTAGCAAGCGGCCGCTATACCTGAGAAAGAAGAGGACAATCGCGATCGGCATCGGAGGGTGGGGCTCAAGACAGCTATCATCTCTGGGAAGAAGAAGACCGGCCTACAAGACCCTCAAGGCGACCCTAGAGCTGGATTTCGTGACTTGAGCAAACGGGACGTCCAGCGGGTTTCGGAAAGTGAGGAAATGGACCTCGTGGAGAGGTCGGCCCTCTCCGAAACGAAACAAAAGAAAAGATCATGCACAGATTAGGAACCGGAAATGTAGGAGCACCGGCCACTCGGAACAGTTTTGCTCTAACAAAAAAATAAATAAACAAATAAAAATAAATGGATAATGGTGAGAACCTGGACTAAATGGAACCTTATAAGGGAACCTCCGCAAGAGAAGACAGAGCACAGACGTCGCAAGTACAGCCCTTGGAAAAGAAGAGAACTGTGACACACCTTTAGGCTACTCAGGACGAGAAGCCTTAAGGAGGGAGCAATGTAACGGATTTATTAATCTGGAAGTACGGTTCTTATACGCAGTTGGCAGGATTCCTTGAACGGGTGATCAGTCTTGTCGCAAGGCCGCTACCTACACTGGACAACATAAACACAGAAGAAAAGGGTAAAGACATCCATACTTCTAGTGGGATTCGAACCCACGACCCCAGTGTTTGAGAGGGCAAGACATTTCATGTCCTAAATACAAATTATATATATATTTTTATTCAACTACATTCATCGGCCTAATTGGCCAGTCTCAGGTTGATAAGATATTCTATTTCCATTCAACTACTATTTCTGTCGGTCGGCCAATGTTTATATTAAGTTCATATAAAGTAATAGTATGTACTCTGTTTTAGCTTTGTCAGTGGTTGAAATATATGTTGAAACTTAACGGACGTCTAAAGAGATATTTATAGTTTCAGGTTTGTTGTGTCTTCATTATTATAGGTTGCTACTTTTAATATCTCGCACGTGTGTTGTTTCTTCTGTAAGTGGTGCTGAAGCCGTTGTTCTTGGTTGCATAGGGCGTTATTGTGGAGAATTATTTGTATTTGAGATGTACGTAGAAACTGTAAAGTGTTGTCAGATGCTGGTGTGTTCTACACGTATTGGCCGTTTTTTACCTATGTTGCTTTTTCTTCATATCATATATGTGGATTTTTGCTATTTCCTTAAACAAATCCGTGGCCTGTAGCCCGCAAGCGAACCATACCGGCCGAGCGACCGCCGCTTGTTTAGCGAAGTTAATGCCAACTTTAGCGGATAGAGGGTGTCGCGTGGTCAGTGCAACGAATCCCCACGGACATTAATATCGGTTTTCTAGACCGGAGTCGCTATTTCCTTAAAATAGCTCCTCAATCATCCTCACGAGGGTGAGTGGATCTCGTTCCAGACCTATTACTTCTTAGAAAATATGGTAGCGCCGAGAATCGAACCCAGGACCTCTTGATCTGTAGCCAAGAACTCTGACAACTAGACCACAGAGGCGGTCGCTGTTTCCGTAATGTTCGTTATTTCTTCTTTGTGAACTGTGCGTTTGTGGCGGATGCTTTTGTTGAAGAGGCCTGTCTTTGTGTACAGAGTACTTAGCATGCACCTCGTGTGGGAGAGGTATTATATAGCATTCTGGTTAGATAACAAGAAAGAAAGAGGCCACTTTGTAAACCAGGTTTAGATGGGAAAGTAAAAGTTACTTCAGCGTTTAATTTATTAAGCACCATTGCATGACTGCATGTAGGGTAGTGGGAGTGCAAATTCAGGCATTCGTAACATCTGAATTACTCGTAAATGAGGATGAGTAGTCAGCTTCATACCCCGGCCACTTTGCCCTTGTAACCATCTTGTACGTGGCTCATTGGTTCAAAGAGTCGGCTGGACCCTGCAGAAAATAGAAAAATCTGTTGCCTCAGCATGGAATAGGACATCGTTGAGACTATCTTTACAGCGTGCATCCTGTTGTGTAACACATATACACATACTCGTATATGTATAAAGGTTAGCCGCCAGCACAACAGATAACAAACTTGGGCGCATGACTTCTACAATGTGGACCCTTAACAGCGTGGATCAATATGACCTATAACTTAACGTCGTAACTTTACATCATATTGGGCATTTAAGGTCAAGGTCAAGGTCATGTTACAACTTACGGTCAGTCAGTCTGTCTGTCTTGGTGTCGAGCCCCAGTTGGGGCTCATGACCAGATATTTCTTTTGAATGAAAGTTAACTGTCTTGTCTATGTGGAACGCCCTCTCTGACGAGAGGTCGGGTCTGTCATTTGTCAGTCAGTCTGTTTTAATATGTCCACTCTCTGTATTTACATAGTTTTACAATACACACTTATTTCTTACTTTTATGTACAATATATACAAGGCCTCTGTCAGTCCAGGCTCAGTACAACAGATTATGCCCTATTTCTAGCAGTATTCGCTACCACGGCAGTTTAGTCACTTGGACGGTCGTATGCCTGACCGCCGCCAAGTTTAGGCCTCTTATTCCTTCTGTGTCGGGCTTCGCCTTGTCCGATGTTGCGAACATTCTCATTCTCATGATTTTGTATGACTTCTGCTTGCTGCCTGCATAATTTTGTTATAAAGTCATATATGTACGGGATTTTGAATGCCATTGGGCATTTAATGTTGGAAGCCTGATAATGTATAATTTTAATTTCTTATACTTCTAACTCTTTTTAAAATTGTTACTATTTAATATATTTCCTAATGTATATCCTATTTATACTTTTACTAAATTTAAGTACTTGTAACATTAGGAGACAACCCATGTGGTCTATTGGTCAGCGTTCCTGCCTACAGATTCAGAGGTCCCGGGTTCGATTCCCGGCGCTACCAGATTTTTTGAGAAATAATGGGTCTGGAACGAGGTCCGCTCACTCTCGTGAGGATGATTGAGGAGCTATTTTAAGGAAATAGCGGCTCCGGTCTAGAAAACCGAGATTAACGACAGTGGGGATTCGTTGCGTAGACCACGTGACACCTTCTAATCCGCCAAATTTTGCACTAATTTCACCGGCAAGTGGTGGTCGCTCGGTCGGTATAGTTCGCTTGCGGACTACAGGCCACGGAGTTTGTTTCTTGTAACTTGAGGCACAATTTGTATTACAGAGTAGGACGCGTTGCACCAAATACGGATCCATATTAGGAGTTCAGTGACCCTAGACGTATTATACAGCATATTACTGCTTGATAATGGTTCCGTGAGGGCTGTAACATGCAGCAGAGTAATAAAATAGAATCCGAATAATACTGATTAATCATCGAACCATTTGTTGTGCCGACGGCTAATCTTAGCCACATATATCATTGAGACTGTAGTTCGTCGCTATATCGCCTGAGTTATGCTGGCTACCAGATGAGAATGTAATGAATTGCGGTGTGAGAAATCGTCTGGTTTCCTTTGCTTAAGCTTGGGTTTCCTCGGGTAGCGGTACCGTAATCAAGCGGCCGTAATATGACGTCATTCACCGTCATATTACGGCCGCTTGATTACAGCACCGCTACCCGAGGAAACCCAAGCTTTACGGACAGAGACAGTCGCGGGATCTTGTAATCACGGTAATGTATGTTCCATGTCCGTAAAATGCGACGGATTTCTTGACTAGCTAAGCGACGGTTGGCTTCTGAAGGAACCTGTTTTATGGAAGTATTTTAGTTAGTAAATAATTTGATTCTTGCAATTGCAGGACAAGGACTTCCAAGAGTAAAGAAAGAAATAACGACAACAAAATACGTAATGAATATTTTTGACGTAGGCGTAAACCCGCGTATTCAGAGAACGTGTCTGAATTCTATATGTTATGTTATTGCAGGTAGCCTCGAAGATGCTGGGTGAACGTGTGGAACTTCCCAGTCATTCCTGATGTTGAACGGGATGCTGGAAAGGTGCAGAACACTACAGCAGGTAGGTTACGCAATAATATTTTTCCCAACAAAAGGTCACAGGGAGAAAGCATTGCGAATTCTTTCCTCTATGTGCTTGCAGCTATGTGAATAGGAATTGTAACTTAAGAATTATGCAAATGAAGAGTAGTGTCTTCTGGGGAGTGAGTCCGTGTAGTCTGGTAGAACCTAGTGATGTGTCCAAAGGACATACTGCCTCCGTTTTCAGTGTTATAGCGTAGATTTTATAGGTTGCAACCTGCTGTGTATATAATATTTATATTATGTCATAACGAGAGACGAGTAATCAGTTTCATATCCCTGCCACTTTACTTCCAGAGAAACAGTGCCTGGTATCTATTGTGAAGGAGGTTGTGTAGATCCCAGAGCCACTCTGAATGTTATGGAGAAGAGAATTATCTCTTGCTCCTGCTGGGAATTGAACTCTTGACTCTGAAGCCGTCCAGCTCACGGCCTAGTTTTCCTATTATGACTTAGCTATTTCTGAGGTTAATTTTGCCTTCATAATCAAGAGAGCTATGTCAGCTGGAAGGTTCATGAATAAACTGATTAGGATACACTGCCATAGGTGTCAGTACAATTCAGGGGCTGGATGAAATGTTGTTTTTCCCCGAGGAGTTTTGGATTCAAAATATGCTCAAGGAATACCATAAGATTAAAAACGGGAAATATGAACATTGTATAAGCAAAGGAGATATGAAATGAGTAAAACATTTTGGAGAAATGATCGCTTGGGAAACTAGACGTAGGTACAGAATGGCAGCAGGGTGGATGTGAGGGAGACGAGTGAATTTATCTCTCTCAGGATATGGCCTCCGTGACTCTCTTGAATAAGAACTAAGCCCAACACATTACTAAGGACAATTCGAATATATTACATATAATTTTAATTATACATTTTTACACAACCAAATTGTCCTTTAGAAACATTTTTCCTCACAACCTATGAAACTATTGAAAAATGTTTGTTATTACCTCTTGGTTTATTTAAGGGCACTCTCTCAGGCCCTGACAAGTGCTGGCTTGCAGTGTGATTATGGATAATGAAGGGGACGGACCTAAAAGGAAGCAGAGATTTCATGATTTTAGGTATTGTCATAGAACTTGAAGGGCCGTAGAAACACTACGAAACGAGTTTCAGAGCGGAGCGCCAAGCACTACTACTTATGCTTCATAGTAGGTTGTCTTCTCACTGAACAAGTCAACTTCTGTTCAAGCGACCTCTTAACCCCTGTTGCCTATCCTGAACTTTGTACCGAGTCATCTGTTGAAGACGTCACAGTTATATAGCTGGATGTTTCGCTCTCAGGGAAGTGTGAAGTTTTCTGAGCCGGGAACCTTAAGGATTGTCTCTAGTCAGGTTAGTTTCATAAGATGGTTATACTTCACGTTTTGAAGCTAATGTTTCTTCAACTTCCCCTAACCGAACAGAAGCGGTAGGTGTATTCCTGTGCTCTGCCACCTAACCCATATGTTGACATGATGGTACAAAGCATCAACTGGCTGACCAATCAAAAATACGTCTCATTGAGTGTTTGAATGCGAATAAAAGAAGTAATGGGTGGGGGATTATGAAGAACTTACCCATCCTAGATAGGATTTAGATTTTGACGGTGATATTTTAAGAGGTCAGTGTCTCTAAATATTCAGGTGTTTTGATACTTACTTACTTACTTACTTACTTACTCATGGAGCTGAGCCCTTCTGGAGGAGCCGTCAATTCTGCAGCTACTCAAGAATTTCCCAGCATTTTGTGGAACCCGAAGGTTCATTACCGTGTTCACAAGAGCCGTCCACTGGTCCTTATCCTGAGCCAGATCTATCCAATCCATCCCATCCCATCCTATCTATCTAAGATCCATTTTAATATTGTCCACCCACTTAAGCCTTGGTCTTCCCATTGGTCTCTTTCCTTCTGGCTTTCCCACCAATATATTATACGCATTCCNGAGACCAAGTTTCACACCCATACAGAACCACAGGTAAAATTATAGTTTTATATATTTTAATTTTTATGTTTTTGGGCAACAGACGAGAAGACAAAAGGTTCTGGACTGAATGGTAGGAAGCATTACCCGAGTTCAATCGCCTCTTAATTTCCTCCTGAATCAGGTTTCGATCTGTTATCGCTGTTCCCAAATATCTGAACTGTGCCACATTTTCAAAACATCTGTTTCCTATCTTTATGTCATGATTTTGCCCTGCATTTTGGTGACGAGACAGTAACATATACTTAGTTTTCTCTGTGTTTACTTCTAGACCAACCTCTTTACTTGCTTCAGTTAAAGTTTGTGTGTTTTTCTTTATGGTATCTACATTATCACCCAGCAGATTCACATCATCGGCGTAGTCAGGTGTTTTGATAGCAGAGAAAAATTAGACTAGTGAAGATGTCAAGGTGGGAATTGCTACAGGAAATCTACGTTACTAGGGTTTACAACACATATTTAAGCCTAGAACTGCGAACGTAGTATAAAATATTTATGATATAATCACGTGGAACATGGCGAATGACTGAAAAGGATAATGTTATGTTAAATATATGAGGCAGGATGGTTCTGCGAATGGTGTACAGACCAATAGGTAAGCAAGGAGAATCAGACCTAAGAACTGAGGGACATCTTTACTTCGTTCCTTCCCTATATTGTGGTAACGGAAGAAAGTGAAAAAATTTCACATACACAATATGACGCTAAAATACGTTTCTAAGAACTTAGGGAATTATATAAAACACATGAGCTGGCAGTAGATATTAAAAGGGGAATGTTGGAGTGATTGAGCAGTGTGGGCAGAATGGATCAAACAAGAACAAGACAATTATTGAACGTAAGCCAGGCGGTACAGGAAAGGTGGAAGGTCCTGGCCTGAGGTTGATGGAAGATACTGAGAATTATTTATGAGGTCTGAAAATGAAGAGTTCGAGGCGAAGGACATATTGTAGAGTGGGAATCTGTCGGAAAGGAGGCCAAGGTTCTTAGTAAGTGGTAGAGCCAAGGAGTAAGTAAGTTTACTGAGAAGTAGGTTTAGTTGAATTAATTACCTAACCCCACAAAGGAGAAAACTGTGAGATACGTAATTAGATATGAAGAGAAAACATTGCCCCTTAGAAAATAATTTAACTGCATCTTGTACGAGATACCAGCATTGAGGTGCCAGCACGCTGTTACCGTCACTGCCTGCTTGCTTCAAGGACAATGGCACTTCGTCAGCGGCCGATGTAACGTACGGCACCGGAAGGATGTCCGAGTATAGACCTGCCAAAGAAGGAACTTGTATACATCTTCGACCGCCTCTGTGGTCCAGTTGTCAGCGTTCCTGGCTACAGATCCAGAGGTCCGGGGTACCAGATTCTTTTCAGATTTTTTCTGAGAAGTAGTGGCTCTTGAACGAGGTCCACTCAGCCTCGTGATGATAATTGAGGAGCTATTTCAAGGAAATAGCGGCTCCGGTCTAGAAAACCGAAAATTAACTTCCGTGGGGATTCGTTGCGCTGACCACGCGACGCCCTCTATCCGCTAAAGTTGGCATTAACTTCGCCGACAAGCGGCGGTCGCTCGGTCGGTATAGTTCGCTTGCGGGCTACAGGCCACGGGGCACGCGGTAGCATAGTTGGTTGAGTCACTATGCTACAAATTGGAAGGTCGCGAGTTCAAGTACAATTTTTTTTTAATTGACCCAGTCCTTCCAGCCGCACTATGGCCCTGGGGTCGACTCAGACTCTAACAGAAATGAGTACCAGGGATATTCTTGGAATATCCTTGGGGGTAAAGGGCGGCCGGCGCGTAGGGCTGACAACCTTGCCGCCATCTGTGAGCCGATAATCTAGATAATGCGGGAACCTCAACGTCTCACAACCCTATGGGCCTCCACGGCCTGTTAGAGGGATACCTTTACTTTACGAACTTTTATATGATCTGTCGCCTTCGATTTCTTGCAAACATAACTTTTTGAATATGTGACCTACGACTGAGATTGCTCCTTGTAACGGGCCCTTCTGATAACCATCTCCAATCCTAGACATATCCGATGAAGGAAACAGACGACTGACAACGTCTACAAATTAGACATTTATTGTTATGAACCTTGCTTATAAACATTCATAAGCAGATGGGGAAGTCTTCACAATAGTGAAGATTAAGATGCTGTCGCCTGGCATGCGACATATTTTGGCGGATGGGTACTGTCGTTTCGGAGGAATCTGCTGCCTTCCTTCCCTGTTGCTTCTTTTCGCTCACTTCGACGCTGAAGTTGGAATCAGCTGGTTTCTCCGAAACGTTGGCAACCACCTATCAGACAGCACAATGACACTTAGCAGAAGACTATAATATTAGTTCATAAAGAGAATACATGGAGTTGTACATCGACGACCCCGCTGTGTTGCAGTGTCGAGATGCTGGCGCCGTGCCGGCGGGTGTTGCGTCTCTGGCCGGTGCTCTTATCTATCTCGGCGCTCTCCGTCGTTTTGCTGTGGCGCAGTCACGATGACGAAGAAGCAGCGCCGGATGAAACAGACAGGGACAATTGGGTGGCTGTCAGGTAAGCGCTATGTACGGTAGGAGGTAGCAGTTTTGAATCCCACTGTGGGAATAGATGAATGTCGGTGTGTTCATGTGTTGGCCTGTGCAGGCAGAGAAGCCTTCACATGCTTCCATGCCCTACTCAAGCAGTTCTCCAATTGTCATAAAGATTTTGTCACAGCAGTGTAAGAATAAAGTAAAACGTTTCGTTCCATGTTTAATTAAGCACCGTGACATGAGGACGTATGGGGATCGGAGGTATAGTTCCACATATTCGTAACCCCGGCATAGATCGAGGTAAGTCATGAGTCTCAAGCCATGCCCGCTTTACATCCGGGGAAAGAACCCCCGACACTTGTTGGATAGGAGGCTGGATGTGCCGCAGACCCCGTCTGGATATTGCTTCCGCCGGAATTCGAAACATCTGTCGTCCGATCACTGCTAATAACCAACAGAGATATCCAGGCTTCCAGAAATCTTTTTAGCTTTAGAATCAGTTCTGAATTGAACACACCATGGGGTCTATTCTGTAACGTCTTTCTAATTCATGACGTGTAAGAAATGTTGTTTACTTAATTTTCGTTTTTCAATTTAAATTATTTTCTGTAATTTGATATTGATGTGTTAACCGCAGGAGTGGAAATGGTTTTCCATGACAAGGTAAATGGTTCTGATCAGTGGATAAGCCGGACGGGAATTATATTGTGACATAACTGAAGATAGAGTCGTTACTAGGTTACGGCACAGTAAACTCATCAGAGTAACGATTACACACGCAAGAGAGGAACAATATTTACTGTGCGGTCCGTTCCGTGGTTAGATAACAAGGATCAGGTGCCAGTACGTGACAGCCTTGAAACGGCAATTCGAGGAGTAGGAGGTTGGTGTGAGTTGGTCGCCACCCTGCGAGGACGTGAGCCCGGAAGCCGAGGAACGTCCGTCATTGGAAGATGTTTCTGAGTAGCGCAATTAAGATCGTGTTTTATAACACTAGTCTCTGTGTGGCAGTGACCTGTAAAGTGTAGTTCCGGGTTGTTTATAAGAGTACAGCAAACCCGATTACCAATCCCGTCTATAGGCACTCGAACACGTGACAATCTTATGAAGGGAATTATTAAGACGTCCCTACGTTTTTTTGGTGTTAGGAACGATAGTTATAGCGTCCGTCTTCAGGCATTGGAAGTATTTTCATTAGAGAGAGTTCTGGAAATAAGTAGACAGCGTCTGTCCATCAACGCCCGTTTCCAACACTTGTTTAAACAGTTGACATTTGAGTTGACAATGACAGTGGTTACAAACCTTTCCTTCTTGAAACCTCATATTAATTTAAATCACATTAAAAATATCGGGTTTTGCCTTACAGGAAACACACTTCTCAAATTATACATCAACAATCTCTGTTAAGGGACAACTTCGCCTGAATATGGAGGCAACATGTTCGTCCAGAATCTCGGTATCCGTCTGGAAGGCTACAGGGTGTCTAAACTCAGAAGAACAAAATCCTATAATCACCGACGCGAAAACCCCACAATATGTATAACTACATTTTTGTACTTACTTACTCACTCATGGAGTTAAATCCTTCTTGAGGAGCGGCCAATTCTGCAGCTACTCAAGAATTTCCCAGCATTTTATGGAACCCGAAGGTTCATTACCGTGTTCATAAGAACCCTCCACTGGTCCCTATCCTGAGTCAGATCAACCCAATCCATACCATCCCATCCTAATCTCTCTAAGATCCATTTTAATATTGTCCACCCACCTACCCCTTGGTCTTCCCAGTGGTCTCTTTTCTTCTGGCTTTCCCACCAATATCCTATATGCATTCCTCGTCTCCCCCATTCATCCTACATGCCCTGCCCACCTCATCCTCCTTGACTTGATCATTCTAATTATACTTGGAGAAGAGTACAAGTTGTGAAGCTCCTCATTATGTAGTTTTCTCCAACCTCCTGTAACTTCATCCCTCTTTGGTTCAAATATTCTCCTCAGCACCCTGTTCTCAAACACCCTCAGTCTATGTTCCTCCCTTAATGTCAGAGCCCAAGTTTGACACCTATACAGAACCAGGCTAAAAATATGATTTGCCATTCGTTTAAGAGAGTCTATCATGACCACATGCCTGCCCACAGCACCCATACAGGCTCTGGGCCACTCAGACTTCTATGCAGTGGGAACCGGGGTTCTCTCCCCCGGGATAAAGCGACCTTAACGTGAAGCTGACCACTCACCTCAATCTGGTACAGAGGTCAAGAATGGTGGAGCTATACCTCCACTCTCCAATACGGCTTTATGGCTTGATGCTTAATTACAACTTGGTATTTGGCTTTTACTTTTTACTGAGACATGAATTTGTGTACACCGAATCTGTTCCGAAGATCAAAGATTTTTCCATCCACGCCGAAGTCTCCAAACTGGTCCCTTCAGTTCAGGTCTTCCGACAAAATTTCTGTGTGCCTTTCACAAAGCTGCCGTGCGTGCTACATAAAAAAAAAACAAATTCCGTGGCTTGAGTCCGCATGCGAACTACACTGACAGAGTGGCCACCGCTTGTCGGTGAAGTTAGTGCCGAATTTAGCGGATAGAGGGTGTCGTGTGGTTAGCGCAACGAATCCCCACGGCCGTTAATTTCGGTTTTCTAGACCGGAGCAGCTATTTCCTTGAAATAGCTTCTCAATTATCATCACGAGCCTGAGTGGACCCCGTTCCAGGCCCACTACTTCTCAGAAAATCTGGTAGCGCCGGAAATCGAACCCGGACCTCTGGATCTGTAGTCAGGAACTCTGACCACTAGACCACAGAGGCCGTGCGTGCTACATACCCAGCTTATTTCACCCCTTGATTGAATCACTAATATGGATTATTCGTAAGTCCTAGGAGGTGACATTTCTAGCGGAGAACCATGCCACCTGTGGGTTTTTATTAGTACGGGTGTCTCATGCTTTCAGCGATGGAACAAATGGACGAACCGTCACCAGAATACCGAAGCTGAAAATTATTTTTCCGGTTCGCCGCGCGACTGACCTCTCATGCCCGTCCATTGGCTTGAAGAAGAGTAAGAATGCGCGCGCCATATGTTCATACCAGTGTCGTTTTTATGAAGTAGTTGTCTGCTTTCAGAGGGGGAACTGGAGTCAACCTCATCTCTCTTATGAAAGAGACTGTCTGCTTTGTTTCTATGTCAAATATCAAGGCCATTTTAGTTATGAGCGAAGTTGTTTACTTTTGCATCACTCGTTAAACTTAAAAGGCTGGTAAACGTGTGATTAGAACTGCTCAACACAACTGTTACTACATGCATATGAACCGCATACATACGTTAAAAATGTTTGCATTTGCTCACAGATTATGCATATGATTGTTGCAATAAACAGCGGTTTCTTTCCAAATAGCATTAACAGTGTGGTCGTTTTAATGTATCTGCAGTGTGTTTTCTGTGACGTAGGTCCTGAATTGTTATTTAGACAAATCTCTTTATTCAGAGGGTTAATTAATTTCGTACTCACAAACAATGGGCGGCGGACATAAATCAAGTCACAAGTGATGGTACAATGTGATTGTACCTATGACTTGGGATAAGCGTTTCCGTAAAAACGGAAATGGTATTTGTAACTACTTACCTACCGAGCACACGACCAATAGATCGACCGACCAACCGGCAGGGCGACTGACAGACCGACCGACCAAGCAACCAACCAACCAATAAACCAAGGAAGCAGTCAATCAAGCAACCAGATGTGTGGAACAGAGGGGCTTGAAAACTAACAGTCATTAAGCCACCTAAAGGGCACCTTTTCAAACTGGGACTGACAGGTGACCCAACCTGTGAAAGGTGCCTACAAGAAGATGAATCAGCCACAAACATCTTATGTGATTGTGAGGCCATAGCTTATTTAAGATTTCGTCACCTGGGTCAGTTCTTCATGGATCCAAGTGACTTTTATGACGCCCTCATAAATAAAGTCCTACATTTCATTCGAAGTGTAGAATTAATAAAGGGTTAATCAAAGGGGAAGCATAGTAGATCGTTGAAGGTCTCAGTGCAAGGGCCGGATTTTATGGCCCACTCCCTACGGTAGCGTAGTTGGTTGAGGCACTGTGCTACAAGCCGGAAGGTCGCGGTTTCAAGTCCCGATGAGGTCATTGAATTTTTTTCAGTTGACCTAATCCTTCCAGCCGCACAATGGCCCTAGGGTCGACTCAGCTTCTAACAGAAATCAGTACCAGGAATATTCTTGGGGGTAAAGGGCGGCCGGTGCGTAAGGCTGACAGCCTTACCGCCATCTAGGAGCCAATTGACTAGAAAATGTGGGAACCTCAACACCTCACAACCCTATAGCCCTCCACGGCCTGTTACAGGGATGACTTTACTTTTACTTTACTTTTACCCCTTACACACACAACTGTTACTACTGCTTATGCTACTACTGCTACTACTACTACTACTACTACTGCTTCTGCTGCTGGTGCTACTACTGCTGCTACTACTAACAGTCATTCAGTTGGACAAGATATTTCCCAACTTTTACGGAATCCGAAGTTTCATTAGAGTGTTTTTGAGCTAAATGAATCCAATACACGCTGTGTTCCCCTATGATTATCTTTTTTCTAGACTTGGGGCTTCCAAGATGTTCTTTTTTTTTTATTGCTATTGGGGTTTGACTAAGTCCCTTGTACTGCGGCCACTTCTGGCCTATTGTACCAGCCCCAGATGATAGGTGAAGGTGCTTGTGGAGCAATTGGTGGAATGAAGATTGGCAGGGAAACCGAAGTACTCGGAGAAAACCTGCCCCAGCGCCACTTTGTCCAACACAAATCCCACTTGACGAGACCCGGGATCGAACCCGGGCCTCCGCGTTGGGAAACCAGTGACTAACCGCTTGTGCTTTGGCGCGGCCCAGGATGTTTCTTACTTTGAAGGTTTCTGAGCAAAGCTCTACAGTCCCCGTATACGCAGCAACCGACATCGCTGTTGCGGTATGAGGCAGTGGATCAGTTCGCAGTATCTTTTTAGAACAG